CGAAAATCCAAAAAAGCCTACTTAGATAAAATTGATAGATTAATAGACGAAAATAACTTTAATGAATCAAAATGGTGGTCTTTGATAAAAAACGTTTCTTTAAATAATGGAAATTCTGAATACAAACTACCGCCACTTAAATCGAAAGATACTGTCTATTTCGAAAATGTTGATAAGGCAAATCTCATGAACGATTACTTTGTATCCCAGTCAGTAACAGACTCTAAATCGTCCAATGATCTCCCTTTTGTTACAACGTACAACACGATTATAAACGACCTCTCTGTAAATCCATATGACGTTAAACTTACACTACTCTCTCTAAAAATGAAAACATCCTGTGGTCCTGACAACATCAATAATATTATTCTGAAAACCGTAGCCAATTCTTTTAGTGATCCCCTATCCAAACTTTTTAACATTTTAATAGAAAATTGTATTTTCCCAAACTGCTGGAAAGAAGCTAATATAGTTCCGATATATAAGAAAGGCGATATTCATGATTGTTCTAATTATAGGCCTATATCTCTTCTCAGCTCGATTGGAAAAGTATTTGAAAAAATTGTATACAAACATATTTTTAATTTTACTCTACGCCACAATCTTATAACCCCTTTACAGTCGGGCTTTCAACCAAATAATTCTTCCGTTTACCAATTGATTGAAATGTATGATTATATATGTAGAGCCATCGACAATGGACATGAAGTCAAATCCATCTTTTTTGATATAAGTAAAGCATTTGATCGTGTTTGGCACGAGGGCCTTTTGCATAAACTAAATTCGGTAGGTATCAGAAATAATACTCTTAAATTAATCGAAAATTATTTATCTAATCAAAACAAAAGGTGCTAATTGGTGGCCAGAGTTCTTCTCTTCAAAATATTACCTCTGGGGTACCCCAGGGTTCCATTTTAGGTCCGTTACTATTCCTTATTTACATAAATGATATTGTAAATGACATTGAATCTAATATACGCTTGTTCGCTGACGACACTTCTCTTTTTTTAATAATAAATAACCCTAAAGATGCACAAGCCATTCTAAATAGAGATATTGAAAAGATATTTCAATGGTCAATTAAATGGAAGGTGGATTTTAACCCATCAAAAACTGTAAGTTTAACCTTTTCAAGAAAATTATCACCCTCAATCTTTAAATTATCGCTAAACAACTCAGATATAAACGATGAAATAAGCCATAAACATTTAGGCCTTCTTTTCAGTAAGTCGTGTAACTGGGATATGCATATAGATTACCTTACGTCGAAAATAAGCAAACTGATAAATTATCTGCGAAGTTTTAAATACCGTCTAAAACGAAAAACATTAGAAACTATATATAAGTCATTCATTCTTCCAATTTTCGATTATGCAGATTGTGTATGGAATAACTGTTCTAAAGACAAATCAACCCAACTTGAAAAACTCCAACTCGACGCCTTGCGTACTATAACCGGTCTTCCACGTGGTACCTCTCATAATATACTTTATACGGAAACCGGAATATGCCAGCTTCAACTAAGACGCTATCAACATAAAATGATACTTTTCTACAAAATTTTAAATGGACTAGTTCCTAAATATCTAACCGATATAATCCCACCTCTTGTATCCGCCGACCAACCCTACCGTCTTCGTAACTCAAACCAAATTAAGCAAATAAACTGTAGAACATTACTATACCAGAATTCTTTTTTTCCTTCCTCTGTTAAACAGTGGAATGATCTAAGTCATCAAATAAAAAATTCCAAAACTATTTCTGAATTCAAAACTAAATTAAAATCAGGCATGCGCTTAATCGAAACAAATGCTCACTACTATATAGGCGAAAGACATCTACAGATAATACATTGTAAACTACGAAACTCAAAGAGCGACTTAAACCTTCATAAGTGTTTGATGCACATATCGGAAAATCCCTCATGTTTTTGTGGTCAAGGTGTCGAAGACTGTGAACATTATTTCTTACACTGTCCACTATACAATTCTCAGCGAAAAATCACAATAAATAAATTAGGTTTTGATCATAGGAATATTCAAACAATACTTTTTGGAAACACCACTATTTCTTTTGATGAAAATTCTTTAATCGTTGAAATCGTACATAATTTTATCAAACTAACTAAACGCTTTAAAACTGCCTAGATCATTACTGAAATTCCCCACCCCCTCCAGTTAGCAGATGAACTCATAAAATTCATAAAACTTGATGAACTAATTTTGGGCCTCGGCATCGTCATCGTCTTATTGAATATCTATCGTTATAATCTACTTGTATATGTACTGTTTATTTCCTTTCTAAGGGATCTTTACCTTCTTTACCTTCTTTTCCTTCACCTTCTGCACTCTGTAAAATATGTTAATCAAATACATCCAGTCGTCCACTTCTGAATGATCACTATTTATGGAAGCGATTTTACATAAGCAGCAATGCTTGTTATTGTATCCATATATTGTATGTTAAATATATCTGTGATTCACTAAGAAATAAAATATTGTTTAAACCAAACAATAAATTCATAACTATGCGAGTTTGTGGTGAGTAAATTCGTGGTGACAAGTCTGAAAAGGCTAATGTGACATAGAACAAGGTCACATTGATGTTGACAAATACGTAAGACGATATGAACATCAACTAAAAAGATATGTAATGTGATTCAGCTGTAAGGTGATATATGCATATATATGCATATATTCAAGTTAAACCAACTGTATCTATTTATTTAAGTCTTACGTCGAGCTGAATACATTTTATGATTTATTGTCATCTATTGGTGGTTAACAGTGTGTAACTAAAAACTAAAATTGGATCTTATTATTGCCAATGATATAATGTACATCTAATAGCAAGTGTATATATATTTTTTGTTCAGTCTGTACACAGTAACATATCTGAGAACCATATTATTATCATTTCTGCCCAAGGCTCCCTGTGCCTTATAGTTAGCAGTGATACAAGGCAATTACCAATTTTCCATGTTCTTGGCCTGAAGAAATAAAATAATAAAAGTCAAGTTTTTATTATTATGCAAGTGGAAAAATACAATTATTCATAGTATGATTTTAATAAATACAACTGATTTGAAGTTGGAATTATTATTTGTCTAAGATGACTGGGCATTTACAAATTGAAATAGCTACTCTTCATCAAGAAAATACATGAATATTTTTCCCAATTCACCTGGATTTTATTGTAGGTCTTTGTACGTGAAATAGCTTTATTTAACGTCCGCTACCACCGAAGTGATATTGCAGAAAATTAACAAATTCGGATTCCCTTTTAAAGGAAATTGACTGCACTATCGCTGGATTGTATTATATAGGTCATGTCAGTTTTTTTCAAAATGGCGCCCAGAACACAAAACCAACATTGCAATTCAAGGCGGGCTGGTGTCGAGGCTGTATCCTAAGAATGATTTTTTGAATATTTAATCACACAGAAACACAAGTATGCACATGCAGTTATGATATAATATTAAATTAGCTTACCTCAAATACCTCGAAATATACTGTTTGGTCAGTTTGTCCGCCCGCCATATTTCTATTAGTCGCACATCCTTCGGCCAATTAAAATGGACGTATATTTTGTTTTAACCGAAACGAAAAATTTGCGTTATAAATAGTAAACGAGCTTGATTGACCGACCACTGCTAATGTTTTTTCGTGAAACGGTATAACTGCAATCAACACACGGCCGCCATTCTCGATGATTGACAACTCACGTTTTTCCTCATCCACCAAAGAACCGTTAGGTTTCTTTGAACATACTGTAATAACATTGGGATTATCAGTTAATCAGCTTTAATTATCCCGCTTTGTTCGTTGCCATTTCTTATATTTTCCACAAAAAAACTTTGCCTTGTACGCACTAATTTATCAATTGGTATTGCCGTCTACGACAAGCATGTCAACGTGCAGCTCACGGATTATCGTTAACAATTTCTAGGGGCTTGTAAAAAAAGATTGCATGTCGTGTAAATATTTATTTTGTTTTTTGTGTAGGTCATTTTCAAATAAATTCATCAGCATATTATTCGTTTTAAATAAATATAAAACTTTTATGAGAAACGATGATTATCAAAGAACCGTAAGTGCAACTAATGTTTTATCGTTTGGTTGAGCCTTTTACTAACCACGTGTTTCGTGTTAATAAATATTTTCTTTCGTGTTTTGAATTGGCCTATTTCTAATAAATTATCCCGAGTCCCAAACGTCGTTAACCCGAGTCCCAAACGACGTATACCAAAGTCCCAAACGACGTATACCAAAGTCCCAAACGTCGTATACCCGAGTCCCAAATGTCGTGGTCATATTTTTTTGAGTCCCAAATGACGCGAGTCCCAAATGACATGTAATCCGTTGTTCAACCTCTGTGAGTCTGTGTAATATTTAATATTAGGCCCCATTTTTGCCTGATTCAGTCACAGTTAATAAATAATGGAACTAGAATCAGCCTGTGGAAGTTTCTCTATAGTTTTATTATTTTTTCCAGTCAATGATGATATGTGACTCTTTCCACCTTCCAGCAATAATTATTGAGAATTTACCAAGGACTCCATTGGCATTGAATCGAAGACAAACAGGTAAAAATTTCAATTAATTTTTATATTTTCTATTTTTTTTTTACCAATGTCCTACAATGATTAGTGTATGTGAACATACAATCCAAAATAAAGTATTTATATGGCACTTACATGCAACAGAGAGAGAGAGAGAGAAATGACATAAACAAGGCCTTACATGTACTTGTATTTGAAGAATCAAGTAGTCCATGCTGTGCCTATATGCATACCGGTAATCAACTACGACGAGGATTAGCCTACTTCCGTTTCCACCCTTTCCCTGCACACTGTCTCATTCTACATGTATTAAAAATTGGTATGTTACTGTAATATTAATTATGCACGAACCTACATGTAGAGTTGTTGCAAGATGGGTCCTTATATCTACTTAGCCTACAGACGCTAGGTCGTTTCGGGAAAAAGGACAGGTAAGGTTAAATTTAATATGAATAATTCGCTTGCGGGTATGGGTATTTAGCAAAAGGAGGAAACAAAAGGACCCAGAGATTAGAGAAGGTATGCTTCAATTTAATATGAATAATTCGCTTGGCGTAGGGGTACATGTATTTAGAAAACGGAGGAAACCGAATGACCCAGCGAAAAAACTCAAGAGATTGGACAGGCGACTCTACTCCTTGAAATTGAAACCATGCCACTTAACACAATGACAGACCCTGTGATTTCATGCGCATGCATTACCTACTAGACCATTCCCCCCAGCCCCACCCCATATCGAATAAAAGTATGACTTATTTCAAATATGATATTTACATATAAAGAAAGTAGAGAGACTTCAATCTTACTAGAAAACTACTAGATTACCTGAAATGAAATGGGGTTTAAAGACAACGTCCTACTGGTCAGCTCCGACTACTCTAATGCATTGTGCTAAGTGAAAATGTTTGTCTGGGCAGCGACACTATGGCCTACTCTCATACCGAATTCAAACTGCCAAGAGAACTTTTATGTGTACGCCAATGTGTACATTGGATCTCAGGGGAAACCACTCTGCAAAATCAAGATGAGCTTTCTCGCTCAACCCCAAGAGATAACCTGTGGCCTCCATGCTAGTGTGCCAGCACCTAATTTACCCAGTCACCATGGCCGTCTTCTAATTACTGCGACAGTTAAACCATGTGACAAACAAGGATTATTAAGATAGACTTTTACGGCTTAGGTAGTTCCTTGGGATTAAAACTTTTGATACATATAGATACATTAGTTTCAATTTCATATCACATAGTTTGTATATATGGTAAGGTAGCTTTAATCGTAAATTACATATCATGTATTTATTTTTTCAGTTTCAATATTGGATGTATATGCAAATCACCCAGAAAAAGATCATGTAATAACAAAAGAAATTATAAAAGAAAAAAATGGAAGAAGAAATGGCTGGAAAAAATGATGATAGAGCAGCTTTTTCTTGGTGGGTAACTATTCAATTCTAATAGAAAAGATTGTTATGCTATTTTGAAATCTAAAATTCAGTTTAGTATAGTAAAACTGTACATGTCATGTATGAGCAGAGACAGAATCTTAGTTATATGTAGATATCACAGTCTCATCTGTGGCAAAGCAAACCAACACATGAAACAAAACAAATGTAATTAAATTAACATTTTTTTAATTAATCAAAACTGTCTAGTCAATTTAAGCCAACTAATACATTGCCATTTTTTTTTTCAGTTACCCACCTCGGAAGATCAAGTTGGAAAGGGCTATTGATATTGTGGAGACGTTTTCTCACAGATCTTGCTTATCAGACAAAGACTATGTAAGTACCATGCATATTTGCTTTTTAAATCAGGAACTGGTTCTATACACTTGGTGGGAGGGTTGGATGGACGTTAAACCCCATTTCTCTCTCTCTCTCTCTCTCCTAAATATTGAGATTTTTGTTTACTTTTAAACTGCATATATTCAAGGTATCAGGAGCTTTTTATGGCTCCCGTACAATTTTATAAACATGAAGGACTGTACCTTTTGAATATTAAGCCATCAAATTATTTTATAATTTTGAAAATGAAATGAAATGGGGTTTAACATCCTACTGTTTTGCTCATAAATTGGGCTAATGAAGACGGGCATACGCCATACAGTGTGCTATGAAGGGAATTTTGCCCGGGCAGCGGCGCTACAGCCTACTCTTATATCGAATTCCAATTGCCAAGGAATCTTTTACGTGCACGCCAATGTGTACACGGGACCTCGGTTTTTCGTCCCATCCGAACGACTAGACAGCTGTCCTTGTCAGGCCCTCCGTCCTGTATCACTGACAAGGGGAAAACACGCAAAATGTAATTAACATATATATTTGTATTTTTAATCAGGAAGTACTTCTATACACTTGCTTGGTAATCTAGTTATTCTTCTTGGGGCAATGCCTAGGACTCTGCTGTTTCAAGTACTTGGCATGCTTGATTTTTGCCAATCACATCCATTGATTTCCTTCAAGTTGCGATAGGCCCTACATGTATGTGTATTTTTACAGTAAATAGCAGTAAAATAATGATGGACAGTATTTTACTTTCAAATAGATTTCAATAGATTTTAAAGGGTAATATCCAATTTGTTGTCAATTGAAATAAAATAAGAATGGGTCCAAAAATAATTAGACATTGCCAAGTAAAAAGGTGCTGCCATGATGTAGTAGGGAATCTGGATTTGCAGACAATACATGTATGAAAGGGTGAATAGTTGACCTATTATGAGACTTCAGTCCCAAATCTCAAGACTTTTTTCTGACTTCTAACTCATTTGATTTGAGCATAATAATCTGCCTGGGTCTGTAACTGGACAAGACACAATAAGCGTTAAGCAAAGTTGAAACCAAATAGAGACTCGGTCTCGATGTGGCAAAATAAATTGTTTATTTAAACGTTGTGAACCATAGAAAGTATTCTTATTGCCTACTTTTTATTTTTTAGGCTGGAACACCATTGAAAGAGTATTTGCTGTATGATAACAACAAGAAAACCCAAGCATCAATTTATTTTATACTTCTGGGAAAGAATGCATTTGACCCAATTTTTAAATATTTATTTTTTGTTATTAATGTTAAATTTTCTTCCAAAACACAATTAGATTTTAATTCTCTTCAGAAATGTATGTATAATATAGCAAGTAAAGTGACATATAAATCACTTAGAATTTGGTCAGAAATCATAAAGTATTTAATAGGCATTACTAGAAACCAAATGTAGATCAAATACACCCAGAATTACAAAAAATCTTGACCTACATAAAGGTGACTTTCCCTTGCTTATGAAATGAAATACGGTTTAGTATCCTACTTTTCTGTGTTCTTAGAGTGATTCTGCCCTACACCCTACTCTTATATCAAATATTTCAACTGTCAAGGGTTCTTTAACGGGAACCCGGGGGGGGGGGGGCAATGATTAACACGCACACATTTGATCAGGAAGTCTGTCATTGAGTCAAATAATTCAATTGTCAAGGGTTCTTCTAAGTGAACGCAGTGGGGATGGTTTCGATTCCGGGAATGGGGGAGGGGGGGTGGATGGCCGAATGGTAAGCACGTGCGTGCGGTATCATACGGCCTGTCATTGAGTCAACTGGCGTGGTTTCGAATCCCCGGTTGTACGTGACAAGGAGTAGGGTCGCCTGTCCAATCTTGTGGGTTTTCTCCGGGACCTCCGGTTTCCTCCCACTGCTAAAGACCCCTATGCGCAACGAATTATTGAAATAAAATTAAACCATATGTTAATCCCGAAATGACCTAGTTTGTGTCAAGTGGACGTTAAACCCCATTTCTCTCTCTCTCTCTTTCGATTCCGGGCTTGTACCCAATTATCCCTTGCCATATCAAACACTACTGACAAGTGGGAACTGTGCCGGAAAATCCAGTTGAAATTTCTCGGCCAACACCTTTTACTCACTGAACCACTGTGGCTTATGACTTGTGATTGTATATAAATGTTTTGTACATATGATATTTTTTTATTTCAATCCTGTAATCTTGATGCTTTGCTTCTTTTATTTACAAAATATTCATTTTGTTTGGGTTTTTTTTAATGAGGAAAAGGTTTTACATCATTTTATTACTCCTGCAAAATAGTGCATTTTTCATTTGTTAGTTTTCTGTGTATATTAGTTATTTCTATATGTCTCACAAATCACTTGTAGTGTGATTTTGTAGCACTTTTCAGTTTTTGAAATTGTTTCAATTTAGTGCATAATTAATCTTAGTGCTTGGTTTGGATGTTATTAAATTTAGATATTATTTGAATTATATATTTTGGAGTATGGGGTAGGGATACTGTGTACATATCTTTATATTCTCAGTTCTTGTTTTGGGGTAAAGAACAATTTATATAGCTATTTTATATTTTGTGATAGGTAAAGTGTGTGGGGTTAAGAACAATTTAAATAGCTATGTTATATTTTGTGATGGGTAAAGTGGGGTGTGTGTGTGTGTGAGGGGGGGGGGGGGTCATTATATATAACACAATATAATTAGTATTAGAATTCTCTGTTTTTCTGTTAACATTTCAAATATCTATTTAGTTTTGATGTATTAATTTACTTTTTCCTATGATTTTATGAATAAATAATAATCTTACAAAATTTTTTTTTGTTTCCTTCTTTTATCAAACTTTACAGGTCTAACAGAGCAAAGAGATGGGTCCTGCATAAAAAGGTTGCTATACTGTATATAAATTGGGGAAAAACACAACACAAGTTTTTGTGGATGGTTATACACAAGTTTGTATGAAACCACACAAGTTTCAGAAATTTCAACACAAGTTTCAGAAATTTTAACACAAGTTTCAGAAATTTCAACACAAGTTTCAAAAATTTCAACACAAGTTTCAAAAATTTCAACACAAGTATTGTGTAGATTTTCACTTAAGTTTCAACACAAGTTTGTGTTGTTTGATAAATTTTAACACAAGTTTTGTGTTGTTTCAACATTTAACACAAGTTTTGTGTTGTTTCAACACAAGTTTGTGTTGTTAAATAGAGACACCTTACTTGTGTTGAAAACAACACAAGTTTGTGTTGTTTCAACACAAGTTTTTTACAGTGTATAACATATATCAACATAGTTACAAACACGTAGTCTTGCTGTAATTTAGACTTTAACCCGCCGTCGCATTCATTACATTACGTTATATTTTGTATTATGATGACACGGCCCGATAAACATATCACAATAATACCTGGCCACGTCGTGCTCATTTTAAAGGCGCTAAACATATTTGCTTTAGTTCAAACTGTATCAACGTTATGCTTATCGTAGCCACGTTGGCGAAGTGGGTAAGAGAAAGTTCATCAGGATTTTCCGACGTGGGTTCCCCTTGTCAGTGGCGCAGGACGGAGGGTCGGACAAGGACAGCTGTCTAGTCGTTCGGACGATATGAAAAGGCGTGCACGTAAAAGATCTCTTAGCAGTTGGGGTTCGATATAGAGTAGGCCATTGTGCCGCTGCCCGGGCAAAATTTCCCTTATTATAGAACACTATGGCGTATACCCGTCGTAATTAGCGCAGTATAGGAGCAGAACAGTAGGACGTTAAACCCCATTTTATTTCATTTCGTGACAAGGAGTAGGTTCGCCTGCCAACCTCGTGGGTTTTCTCCGGGTCCACCGGCTTCCCTCCACTACCAAAGACTCCTACGCGCAAGCGATCTAGTACAATGCAAAAGGATTAAACATAAGTTCTAACAACTTATAAACGTCTTCTCCTTATATAGAATATTAAATGATGAGAATATTTTAAATGATAGATACGAAGTTATATTCCTTTCATTGAAATAATTATTAATATAGTGCATTATAAGGTCCATGCATAAACAGTTTATTAGTTCAATTCAAAAGAATAATGACTGTATTAAGATATGTGCCCGTCATGCCTTAGATACGATTTATAAAGGCCTAATATAAAAGTAAATAAACTTTTAAACATAATAAAGATCTGGTTAAATTGTAGATCTGATAAATATGCGTGAGTCGCACGAAACTTACTCACATAGAAAAGATCTTAATGAAATAATGACTTATATATGCATTGACTAAATGTATTTATATATATTGTAAATATTGTAAAGAAGTGTACATTAATGTACGAATAAATGTGAAATAAATCAACAGAATATTTCAAAAATGATACATTTAAATATTGTGGAATATGAACTAAACATGTAATTGATTCAGGGGATTTGGATGGCTGAATGGTTAGCACGTGCGCGCTGTATCATAAGGTCTGTCATTGAGTCAACTGGCGTGGTTTCGAATCCCCGGTTGTACGTGACAAGGAGTAGGGTCGTCTGTCCATCCTCATTAGTTTTCTCCGGTCCTCCGGTTTCCTCCAACTGCTAAAGACCCTACGCGCAAATGAATTATTGAAATAAAATTAAACCATATGTTAGTCCCGAAATGACCTATATAGTTTGTGTCGCGTGGACGTTACCCCCCCCCCCCTCTCTCTCTCTCTCTCTCTCTCTGTAATTGATTCAAGTGTCTCCGCCCCCCCCCCCCTCTAGCACGTGGCTATGAGTAGGGTCCACCAACTGCTATGTACACGGGCACATTATTGAAATAAAACTGTGCCATTATGATAATCACAAAACGGCCTAGTTTGTCTGAAGTGGTCGTCACACTCCATTGCTCTCGAACAGGTTGTTAAAATGTATAATATTATATACACTATAGAAATAACATGCGCCCTTCCTGTTTGATCATATCTATAGTTTATATAATATTATATATGCTATATAGGTCTACAAAAAAACGTTAACACATTTTAAAAACATTAAATAAACGGCGCTGAGATACTCGTAGCGTGAGTCAACAGCAAAATATACACGCATTCATGAAATAGGATACGCTTTGTATATATACATGCATTTATGATATAAGTATAAAATAGAGAGAGAGAGAGAGAGAGAGAGAGAGAGAGAGAGAGAGAGAGAGATGGGGTTTAACGTCCACTCGACACAAACTAGGTCATTTCGGGACTAACATATGGTTTCATTTTATTTCAATAATTCGCTTGCGCGTATGGGTCTTTAGCAGTGGGAGGAAACCGGAGGACCCGGAGAAAACCCACGAGATTGGACAGGCAACCCCACTCCTTGCCACGTACAACCGGGGATTAAGTATAAGAAACCTGCGTGATTATGACTTATAGTCCTGGGGCTAGGTTGGGGCTAAATAAACAGTGCTGAGATACTCTTAGCATAAAAATGTACATTTATAAGATAAGATAAGCTTTGTATAACACATACATGCATTTATGATATAAGATATAAGTCTAAAATAAACGGTGATTAGGACTTCTCCCGTCAAAAGTTAAAACCTAGTAACTCACTTCTTTTTATCAAAATTGAGTTAGGACCAAATTTGTAGTTACTAGGGTATGTGCTTCCTGTTGTTGTACTAGATATTCCAATCTTTTGATTTTGTAAGCAGTTACACCCATGACACAACCTAGCAACTTCCTTCATTTGCCTAGTATGCCACAGAAAAACCTAGTAACTCAATAGTCAAATCAATGCATAAGCTGGGGTTTAATATTCATTCATTACGTTTTCCTTTGATTTATCAAATAACAATAAAAAAATATTTAACAATAATAAAAATATAACAATAATAAAAAATATAACAATAATGTAATATAACATTATTGTTATAATTCATTCTATTATTGTTATATTACATTATTGTTATATTCCATTCCTTTATTGTTATATTCCATTATTGTTACAATCCATTATTTGTATTGAATTAACGTATACATTTATATCTTTATGTTAATAAAACACGCTGACCTCGTCTGGGCTATCGACAAAACGCGATTTTGTGTTTTGTTGAGACAAAATTAGATAGTAAAGTATGTACCAAGTTTTACTATCTAATGTATATCCATCTGGATCATATACAGTTAGATCATTAACACTATCTATATTTTATCTGTATATATATATATATATATATATATATATATATATATATATATATATATATATATCTTTAGATGTGTAAGACACCTACACGTCAAATTTCAAATTTTCCCTTTTATAAACTGAAAGTCGATGACAGGGCGAAAAGAAAATTAATGGAAACCCATTTTATTAAGAAATACTTTCCTCCACTTAATAGTCGATAAGTAATAATTTCATTAAATATGCATTATGCAAGAGCTAAATTTGATTATTGCAAGTCTTAATTTAGGCTTCAGATGTTATAGAAATTATAAATTAGATCTTTATTTAGACCAAAATCAACTCTGTAGACCCACGGATGGCTCGGTTACAGCTCGGATTAAAATACGATTTCACTAATTCTTCTTTCATAATCTACTTTGGAGCTGTTATAGCAAGAATGGCCAACTCTCTATAATAATCTCCCATAATGTATCTTTAACTAATTTTCTTTATCTACCCCTTATTATCGTTTACTGTGAAACAAACAGTAGTGCAGCTTTTACCTAGTTTCATGATTTACAACGTACTCACATGATCTATATATAGAGAATTGGGAGTTTAACGTCCAATAGTTTAATTTTATATAGCGTTGGGAGGAAACCGGAGATAGCGGACGGAACCCACGAGGTTGGACAGGCGACACTACTCCTTGTCATGTAAAAGCGTAGAATCGAAAAGAAATTTAAAACATACTCACAATATCTTGAGTTTAGTTGTTAAAATTATATCTGTGACACCTGTGACACCTGTCCTTACCTAAGTACGTACACATATTTAAATAGATACGTATAACAAGTAGAGCTTCAGGTTGAATATACTTCCTCTTTGGGTTTATATCTGAACATTAAACTATAATATTATCACAGGTGAAATAACGAATACGCTGGGGTCACACGTTTATGAAATAAAATGAAATGTATTTTAAGGCCCTACTGTTCTGGTCCGACTGGGCTAATGAAGACGGCCATACGCCATAGTGTGCTATGAGGGAGATTTTGCTCGGGCAGCGGCAATATGACCTACACTTATATCGAATTCCCACAGCCAAGGGATCTTTTACGTGCACCCTAATGTGTAAACGGGACTTCGGTTTTTCTTACCATCCGAACGACTAGACAGCTTTCCTTGTCAATCGGTCTGTCCTGCACCACTGACAGGGGGGGGGGGGGGGGGAACCACGTCGAAAAAACCCGATGAACTTTCTCGGCCAATGCAGGGATCGAACGTGCGACTTCCAGGCTAGCGAGCCAACGTCTTACAAACTTAGCCATCGTGACCCCCCCCCCCCCTGCTTTTCTGCGCCAACCAGGATAAACAAGACGGGTTTTCGTCATACAGTGTTATATGAGGGACATTGTACCCAGACAGCAATTAAATTCCAACTGGTAAGCCTCGTAGTTTAAAGCGGCAATACCTCTTTATACCGAACAAAATGGGTTTTATCTTTTCTGCATCAACCGGCATATCGAAGTCCCGCAGCCGCTATACTCTCATCTTCAATAGAAGGCTTGATCTCGCTTTAACTACGTACATCTTATAAAGGCCTTCACGTAATACCCTACATATTTCACCGAATGCCAAGTCTCGCGCTTTCCAGTTAAAATGTCTACCTGTGATAATCGAGTTGCAAAGTTCAAGGTTCATTCAATGTCACGTGTCTGTAGATAACATAGCTATAAGTTAGGGAATTGTGAAGTAAACAAGCAACGGCCAGATGTTGTGCAACTCGCAGTCGTTGCTTCAGGAACATGCTATACTCTGGGCTATAAGGGGTATTGTGATATTGTGATATTGAATTCCATAACTGGTCAGCTTCGTGGGTTACCCCCCCCCCCCCCCCCGCTCACCCCCCCCCACTCTATCAAAGACCCATACGTGCATGCGAATTTTAGAAATAAAATTGTACCATATGTTAGTCCTGAAATTACCCATTATGGGAGATTAGATAAAGAGCTGACAGCTCTCGTTATATTAGCTAAAAAATAGATAATACATGTATGCGGAAAATTACAGTCAAGTTGCTCCACTTTGGACTAAGATATTAGCGACTGAATTTTAGGCCTAGCCTCGATCATCATTAAAGTCGCTACGATAAAAAACAAAGTCCCGATTATCCATAATATCACAGGCTAGCGATGCCATCGTGAGTTGATTATGGTCTGGATAAGCTTATAAATGTCTAATTAATAATTTATATAACATTTCATGCCCAAAGAAACAAATGCAATCGGTAGATTTAGCTCTTACATAATGCATGTTTCTCTTTCTCTCGAATTTTCGTCCCACCCGAACGACTAAACTCGAAATAATAATTACCCTATGCATGTCTCAACTGTATTCAGTTGACAAGACATTAAACCTCGTCCCATTCCATCTACTGAAGAATTACAGTGCTTATTTCTTTGGTACCCCCTCTCCCAACCAAAGCGCTCCTTGAATGGAATCTCCATGCTAACTACATAACGCACCCATACCCTAAGTAAACGGATTCCCCATGCCAACTACATAACGCACCCATCCCCTAAGTAAACGGACTCCCCATGCAAACTCCAAAGGCACCCATCTCATAAATTTATAAACGGACTCCTCATGTCAAATACCCCGCCCCCCTCTCCTTCCCTTCCTGTGAGAAAGGAATCTCAATGCTGCATAAGACACAAGTCATTTTCATGTTTTCAAGGAAATTTACTTTTAAAAAAATAAATTAGTATAATTAAAACTGTTATTCAAATACATTGTGTAAATTAGTATAATTAAAACTGTTATTCAAATACATTGTGTAAATTAGTATCATTAAAACTGTTATTAAAATACATTGTGTAAATTAGTATAATTAAAACTGTTATTCAAATACATTGTGTAAATTAGTATAATTAAAACTGTTATTCAAATACATTGTGTAAATTAGTATCATTAAAACTGTTATTCAAATACATTGTGTAAATTAGTATCATTAAAACTGTTATTCAAATACATTGTGTAAATTAGTATAATTAAAACTGTTATTCAAATACATTGTGTAAATTAGTATCATTAAAACTGTTATTCAAATACATTGTGTAAATTAGTATCATTAAAACTGTTATTCAAATACATGTTTAAATTTTTTGTTATTTTTATACTTTTGATGGCTGCATCTCCATAGAGAGAAAATACTAAATACATCTACATAGAGAGAAAATATTAAATAAATCAAACTTAAATCAATTATTGTAATTGGTATTGTAATTGGTATTGTATTGTATGTTGTATGTTGTATATTGTATGGGTATTGTATGTTGTATGTTGTATTGGGTATTGTATTGAGTATTGTATTGTATGTTGTATATTGTATTGGGTATTGTATTGGGTATTGTATTGTATTGTATGTTGTATTGGGTATTGTATTGGGTATTGTATTGTATGTTGTATGTTGTATTGGGTATTGTATTGGGTATTGTATTGTGTGTGTAAACATCAACACGTTTCATTTAGTTCTATTAAGGCTGGGGGGAGGGGAGGGGTGGATGGCCGAATGGTCAGCACGTGCGCGCTGCGCTGTATCATACGGTCTGTCATTGAGTTAACTGGCGGGGTTTCGATTCCCCGGTTGTACGTGACAAGGAGTAGGGTCGCCTGTCCAACCTCGTGGGTTTTCTCCGGGTCCTCCGGTTTCCTCCCACTGCTAAAGACCCCTACGCGCAAGCGAATTATTTAAATAAAATTGAACCATGTGTTAGTCCCGAAATGACCTAGTTTGTGTCGAGTGCACGTTAAACCCCATTTCTCTCTCACTCTCTCTGTAAGTTCACCCTATTTGGCTGATTATTTTTCTCACTTTTATGTGAATGATATAGTCAGCTATGCTCACTGTGCTATTTGAAAATCCGATGACCTCATAATAATTGCCGTTTAAAGAGATCATTGTAGATGGTGTAAATGAAATGGGGTTTAACGTCCTACTGGGCTAATAAAGACAGCCATGCAGTGTGCTATGAGGGAAATTTTGCCCGGGCCCTTATATCGAATTCTAACTGCCAAGGTATCTTTTACGTGCACGCCAATGTATACACAGGACCTCGGGTTTTCGTCTCATCCGATCGACTAGACAGCCCTCATTGCCAGGCCCTCCGTCCTGCAACACTGACAAGGGGAACCGCGCCGGAAAATCCCGATGAACTTTCTCGACCAATGCAGGGAACGAGCGCGCGACCTCTAGCGTCTTACCCACTTAGCCACCCCCCCCCCCTCCTCCCGCTTTACAGCGATAATTGTAGATGGTGTAGATTTCAGTATAAATAAAGTACAACCAGATTTGGAATACAATAACAATTACACTTACAATAGATTTATAACTCGCAGATAAAGCATACTTTACATACACAATAAGTTATTTAAGCTCCCTACATAATTCTGTTATTATATCAGAAGCCCCTGGGAAGAACCGTCTAAGTCACTTTTTTTCAACGAACCCCAGTTAATGGCGTTATCTGGTAGCAAATTGTATAAGCTTTCTGTGCAACAATCAATTTCAGGTAAAAACGATCGGAGTCACATCGAACCAAGGCCATAGGTGTAGGAGCCGGGGGAGGGGGGGGCAGGGGGGGGGGGCAATGAAAAATTCGACGACCTTTTTTTTTCTATTAACGTTTAGAGAAAAAATATAACTAACTAATTTCTATGAGATCGTCTTTTTCTTGTCCACTGCATATGCCCGAAAATATGCCCGAAGCTCTCTTATGATAGGTATGCCCGAAAAAACGGTATTGCCCGAAAAACGGGCATCGGGCCGGAAAGCGGCAGAGGAAACTAGCAGTAAAACGCGTTTGCGACCGTCAAATATTCCAAAATTTTCTTGGCGGATCATTCGCCTCTCAAAGAAAACCGGCGCCGCTGTCTATATAAATCCGAAATTTTTCGGGCATTTCTAGTTTTGCTTCCCTAACTGTCATCGAGCCCTAATAAAACACTAATTTTACTTTTCTTGTAATTGAATATCACGAATTTGTACTAAGTTGACTATGGATTAAAACATTTTGTCTGGAGCCACTCTACTTTGTGCGACATTTTTCAGGCATCGATTATTATTTGTGAATGCAGATGCAACAGTCTGATTGGATGGTTAGAATTCAGAGTGGGATTTCAGTTACAAAACCATTGGATACTTTTGGAGTTGCTTACACGGGCTAGAATAGCAGAAAACGCATTTACGGTGATTAATTTTTCAAATTTTTCTCCGGGAGGGTGAGGCCTCCATATACCGCGCGACGATTGATTGGTTGTTTGGAATTCGGGTCAGCCAGGTAGGCTATATATATTGGACCAAATTGAAGTTGCTGTATTCACAGACTGGAATAACAGGAAAACGCGTTTGCGGCAGTTACATTTTCAAACTTTTCTCCCAACGGTCCCGTCTTCGTTGACTGTAAACGATTGATTGGAATTCGAGTCAGCCACCTTAATAAGGCTATAATATATATTCGACCACTTTGAAGTTGCTTTGTTCACCGGCTGAAATAGCAGGAAAACGCGTTTGCGACAGTTAAATTTTCAAAATTTTCTCCTAACGGTCCCGTCTTCGAGGACTGTAAACGATTGATTGGAATTCGAGTCAGCCACCTTAATTAGGCTATATAAGACCGCTTGAAGTTGCTTTGTTCACTGGCTGAAGTATCGGGAAAACGCGTTTGCGGCAGTTAAATTTTCAAAATTTACTCCTAACGGTCCCGTCTTCGAGGACTGTAAACGATTGATTGGATTTCCGAGTCAGCCACCTTAATTAGGCTATATTAGACCACTTTGAAGTTGCTTTGTTCAACGGCTGCAATAGCAGGAAAACGTGTTTGCAGCCGTCAAATATTCCAAAATTGTCTTCGGGGGGGGGGGGGGGGTATACAAGGTCGCTGCTGTCTGTAAACCCGAAATTTTTTCGGGCATTTCGGGTTCTGCCCCCCTAACTGTCATCGAGCCCCTACGCCTATGACCAAGGCCCTTCTGAAATGGCCTCCCGGACAAATACGTCCATATCGTACTCTTTATTTAACCTTAATTTTGCTGAAAAGTTGAAGTCAGCTGTTGTACTTGTAATAATGATTCGTATTATACATCATTTTGATGTTGTAATTAAACCCACTCGGCTCGTTGTTCTGTTTGCGTCAATCATTCTCGTCCAAAAGTCTGTTTTGCCTTTTATGCGAAAAGACAAAAATGTGACTTAGATCGTTCTTCCCCACAAAGCATTCCCAGACTTAAGTTAAGAATTTACTCAAAATGTTTCACCTTATTTGATCTAAAATATAGCCCTTTATAAAATTTATTTTGTTTTAATGTATTAAATACATCTATAAGAAACTATGAGCAAAGTTTTGTGTTTCTGGATTAAAGATACTTCCCATAAAGAGTGACTGAAAGTTGAGTAAATTCTTAACTTAAGTCTGAGAATGCTTTTTGAACTTGGGCCCCGGACTCTTCATCTGCTATTAAACCCTTAATTAAAGCTGATAGCACTCACACATAAATACGTCACATAGACAATAGGTTATTTAAGCTCCCTACATAATTATGCTACTATATCTGTTATTTGCCTTTGATTAAAGGCACCCACTCATAATAAAATTACTTTACATAGACAATAAGTTATTTAAGCTTCCTATATAATTTTGTTTATATATCTGCTATTTATCCTTGATTAAAGCTGATAGCACCCACTCATAAAAATACTTTACATAAACAATAAGTTATTTAAAGCTACAATTTCATATTTTTAAGTTATATTTTTAAAATTTTCTTACAATAAAGCCTTAAAATAGATGGTATTCATAAACCGTCCTACCTTGTTAAAGAATAATCCTATTAATCCTATAATTCGAACTACTGTCAGTTGAGAAATTGGCAAAAATATCATTTTCAATTTCAAATTCCAACGTTTGAAGATAACTACTCCATGGTGGAGAATAGAAAACATGGGAGGTAATTGTGTTATTATTTCCGGTGTAAATGAGTTTAAGTGTGAGAATGACACCTATGATCGTATAATAGTGAGTTGACAACCTATTGAGCAAAAGACATAGAAATAATTATGTTTTGACTTTCTTAGAAAATATGAAATTGTAACTTTAATATATCTGCTATTTTCCTTTAATTAAAGGTGATAGGACCCACACATAAAAATACTTTACAAAAACAATAAGTTATTTAAATTCCTATATTATTATAATACATACACATCTAGTATTTAGCATAACAAACTGGTGCAGTTTTCCATGGGATAATAGTGCTTTTTGTCTTGCCCAAATAAAGCTTTAGAATATTTGAAAGGATGTATAACTATGGACCAGAGCCTCTTCCACCTAAGGTTAACTTAATATAAACACTACAAACTATGAAGTGATTGAATAACGATCTTATTGCACAGTAAGTAATATATATATATACTAGAAACTATGAAGTAATTGAATAACGATCTAATTTCGCAGTAAGTAATATATATATATACTAGAAACTATGAAGTAATTGAATAACGATCTAATTTCACAGTAAGTAATATTTATACCACAAACTATGAAGTGATTCAATAACGATCTAATTTCACAGTAAGTAATATATACAATACATGAAGTAATTTAATAACGACCTAATTTTACAGTAAGTAATATATACAATATATGATCTAATTTCACGGCAAGTAATACATACACTGCAATAATTCATGTCCCGCGTGTAACGGCGTTAACTTGGAATATGTCCTGTATGGGCAAACAACATCAACTTTTTCGCTTCGAATCCTTTCATACCAAAATCTTCTTTGAGGTTTCCTGAATCCAGTTCTAATAGACATGCGCCATCTATATGAGCATCGCGTAGCTGTTTGATATATTTAGACAAATGGAGTTTCTCCAAACTTTCCCCAATTTCACGTATTGAATAACCTCGTACAAAATCTCCCTCGTCCGTTAAACTCATAATACTGCCTCCTGACCCAGTTTCTGTCGACGTCATAGATTTCTGCTGATTGACGTAGGGTGGTGTGGTCGGCGACAAAATTGGTGACGTCAAGGACGTTGCTGATGTTTTTCTTGGTATCATATTTCGACCAGGTAGAGTTGGTGGCTTCTCGGAAGCCTTCTTCTTCTTTTTAGATTTGTCTTCCGTTGTTTCGACCGTTATGTCCACGTACTCTCCGTCATCCGGTATTTTGGATTTTTTTGATTTTTTGGATACAGATACGAAACTCTTTGGGTCTATGAAATCATATATATTGTCCGACGTCACTACTGCACATTCCTCGGGAAGAAGGGCAACATCTGCAAGAAAAAATGAAATGAATTGAAATGGGGTTTAACGTCCCACTTTTCTGCTCATGACTGGGCTAAGAAGACGGGCACACATCATGCAGTGTGGTATGGGGAAAGGAGGGTTGGATGGCTGAATGATTAGCGTGTGCACTCTGTATCATAAGGTCTGTCACTAAATCAACTGGCGTGGTTTCGATTCCCCGGTTGTACGTGACAAGGAGTAGGATCGCCTGTCCAACCTAGTGGGTTTTCTCCGGGTCCTCGGTTTTCCTCCCACTGCTAAAGATCCCTACTCGCAAGCCAATTATTGAAAAAAATTGAACCATAGTTTGTGTCGAGTGGGCGGTAAAGGAGGCTGACACACAGTGAGGTATGAGGGACATTTCCGCCTACTCTCACATCTGTCAAGTGTTCTTTTATATGGGACATTTTTGTTCGTGCCATCCAAAGGACCAGACTCTGGTCCTTGCCAGACTTTTCATCCTGCACCACTTCCAAGGGGATCGACATCAGGAATTAACTGGTTGTTGAAAAGGTTATCTGTCCGCTTTCAAAATGTACGACCCAAAGGACCAGGCGGTGTTCATTGTCAAACGCTCCGTCCTGAACCACTACCGTGGGGATCGACATCAAGACTCCCTAGTTGGTGAACCAGTGCTTAACTCACTAATCCACCGCGGCTCCCCATCTAAACTGACTAGGCCTTTTCTATTTGAGTAAACCTACTTTTGGGTGCCTTGATTTGATTGATGAAGTATGCATCTGTCCACTTTCAAGAAAGATAAAATGTTGATATATACCTTATTTTGTGTTACATTGTCAAGGGGTTAAGCCAAAAACAGGTATTATACAGATATCATTTAAAATCTGACCTTTATTGTTGCCATAATATCATATCGAAGATATTACCTTTATTGCTATTCGTAATATCATATTTAAAATCTTACCTTTATTTCCGTCCGTAATATCATATTTAAAATTTTCTGCTGCTTTATCTAAACCAATCAGTAAATTCTTCCAATCTTGTTTCGTTCCATCTCGGACCTTCGTTACTCGAGCAAAACTCACTTCTTTCAAATAAACCGGTATCAACATATAGGTGTGATACAAAACAGCTGCAAACAATCAAATATCATTATATTGGTGTGATACAAAACAGTTGAAAATAAGCAGATATCACGGATAAGCATAATGATGTGATACAAAACAGCTGCAAATAAACAGATATCATGGATCAACATTATTGTTGTGATACAAAACAGCTGCAAAACAATATGCATCATCATATAGGCGTGATACAAAACAGCTACAAATAAATAGGTTTTAACAAAGCAGATGTGATACAAAACAGCTGCAAATAAACAGATATCATGGTAAAACATTATTGTTGTGATACAAAACAGCTGCAAAACAATATGCATCATCATATAGGCGTGATACAAAACAGCTACAAATAAATAGGTTTTAACAAAGCAGATGCGATACAAAACAGCTGCAAATAAACAGATATCATGGATCAACATTATTGTTGTGATACAAAACAGCTGCAGATAATCAAATATCAATAATATATTGGTGTAATACAAAACAGTTGTAAATAATTAAATATATTAGTGTGACACAAAACAGCTACAAATAAACAGGTATCAACAAAACAGACGTGATACAAAATTGCTACAAATAATCAAGTATCAACAAAACAGACGTGATACAAAATTGCTACAAATAATCAGGTATCAACAAAACAGACGTGATACAAAACAGCTACAAATAATCAAGTATCAACAAAACAGACATGATACAAAATTGCTACAAATAATCAGGTATCAACAAAACAGCTACAAATAAACAGCTACAAATAAACAGCTACAAATTAAACATATATTAAAGTTACATTATGTAAGAGTTAAATCCGACTTCAAATCTTATGTAAAAGCTAAATCGCCCTATTACAGGTCTTTATTTTGGCTTAAAATGTTATATAAACTATTATTTAGACATTTATTCATATAATAAGCCTATAATCAACTCTTTCGACCATCAGATGGCGGATAATTAAATTGTTTAAAATATGGTCGCCATTTAAAAAAATTTAATCTAAAAATGTCGATTCGAGGACAAGTCTCGAATAACACGTACCCTGTTACGATAATAAACAATTTGTGCCACATCTTGTCAAAACTTCAAATAGTGATAACTTTGCTCAAAATAGAGTACATGTAATTTGAATAAATTTCCAATTCATTTTGTATTATGGCGGATAATTAAATTGTTTAAAATATGGTCGCCATTTAAAAAAATTTAATCTAAAAATGGCGATTCGAGGACAAGTCTCGAATAACACGTACCCTGTTACGATAATAAACAATTTGTGCCACATCTTGTCAAAACTTCAAATAGTGATAACTTTGCTCAAAATAGAGTACATGTAATTTGAATAAATTTCCAATTCATTTTGTATTATCTCTCTTTAAATTGTTGTAGCGAGAACAACAAGCTCTTTATCTAAATCTTACATGATGCATTTTTAATAGAAGGTATGAATCAAAAATCAAATTATATTTTGTATGTATTTATATAACCCTATCTGAATTGTCACTCGTTAATTTGTTACCCTATATAATATTAAATTATTAATAAAAAAAATTGAAAGTAGTAACTGGTTAATATGTTACCCTATATAATGTTTAAATTATTAATAAACAAACTGAAAATAGTCACTGGTTCATTTGTAACCCTATATAATGTATAAGTTATTAATAAACAAGCTATAATAAAAAAAAAGTATACGAACCACAATTCAACGTGTTTGCTAGAAAGTATTTCTCGTCGTAGACTTCTGTTATAACAATGTTACCAAACGTGTAGAGCGATGTGTCTGACGATCCTATTCGAAACGAATGGTGCTTAGCATCGAGGGCAAATTGGACTTGAATGGGTGTGTTGTTTTCCTCGATAATCTCCTTTAGTGTTTGTATTTCTCCAACTAAAATATACAATTGTGGATTCATTAATTAGAGAGCTCACCATGAGGCGGAGGGGGGGGGGTAGTAGCTTAATGGCGTGCGCGTGAAATCACAAGGTCTGTCATTGAGTCAAGCTAAAGACCCCTACGCGTAAGCGAATACTGAAATAAAATTGAACTACATGTATATATTAGTCTCGAAATGACCTTGTTTGTGTCGAGTGGACTTTAAAACCCATTTCTCTCGCTCACTACGAGTTAACCCTACCCTGTCACAGGTATCGAACCCACGGCTTGCATATATGAAACGCCCTTTGATCTACAGCGCACACGTTTGACCATTCGGCCACCAGAAACTCCCATTTGTCATATTTTGTCTTTAACCTTTTAACTCATATTTCACGATAAGTTGATGTCACGCAATCTTAACGTTTTCATATAATTATTAAATTAAACATACATTATGCAAGAGCAAATTCTGCCTACTGAAGCCTTAAATGTTATCCAATCTATTAATTAGACATTAATTACCTTATCCAGACCATAATCAACTCTCGATGGCATCGCTAGCCTATGATATTAACTGGATTAGGACCCGATTTGCTGCTATACTTTCATTCCTGATTTAATCATGAAATGGATAATCGAGACTGTGTTTTTGTTATCATACCGACTTTAGTTATAATGATCGAGGCTACGCCGAAAATTCAATCGCTAAAATCTCGATTCAGAGTGGATCAACATGACTGAAAATTTTAGCAAATTTCCTTTACATTATCTAGTTTTTAACTATTATAGTGCGAACTGCCAACTCGTTATCGAATCTCCCATAATGTATCTTTAACCTATCCAGATCATAATCAACTCTAGATATCAACGCTAGCCTATGATATTGACTGGATTAGGACCCGATTTGGTGCTATACTTTCATTCACGATTTAAGCATGATATGGATAATCGAGACTATGTAATGATGATCGAGACTAGGCGGAAATTCAATCGACAAAATCTCGGTGCAGAGTGGATCAACTTGACTGTAATTTTCAGCAAATTCCCTAGTTTTTAATTATTATAGTGAGAACTGCCAACTCTTTGTCTAATCTATTGAAATAAAATTGAACCATATGTTAGTCCCGAATTGACCTAGCCTGTGTCGAGTGGACGTTAAACCCCATCTCTCTCTCTCTCTCTCTCTCTCTCTCTCTCTCTCTGCAAAAATAGCATTCGAAACGTCACCCAAATAAATTACTAGCCCTTCGTCCAAAATAGATGTTAGTGTTTATTGCTCTATCCAGTTACTATATGCCTCTAAAAAATTAGGGTAGTATAGTCGTTTAACGCGTGCGCGTGAAATCATAATGTGAATTATTAAAATGAAATTAAGCCATATGTTAGTCCCGAAATTACCTAGTTTGTCTCGACTAGACATTAGTCTCTCTCTCTCTCTCTCTCTCTCTCTCTCTCTCCTCTAGAATATTATAATCATCACTTGCTACTTACCTTTTTTGTAACCCTTAACCAGGCGGAATTTAATGGCAATATTAACAGGTAGAGTAAGGTAACGCCCTTCTTTATCTCTGGCTATTACACGTCGTTGACGAGACACTTTCGCTAATCGGAACATCTGGATATATGAAAAATAATACACTCTAGTTTATATATAGCATTTGATTGTTCGAGTTCGAGATTCCCTGAATTGAATCTCAAAACGTATACAAGATGTTAAATTCGTTGTGATGAAATGAAATGGGGTTTAACGTCCTACTGTTTTGCTCCGAAACGGGCATACATACGCCATACAGTGTGCTATGAGGGAAATTTTGCCCGGCCAAGGGATCTTTTACGTGCGCGCCAATGTATACACGGGACATCTGCCAAAGTATCGATTGAAAACTTTGCCAGTTCATTAACTTCTCTGTATAGGCAAATTTGTCAATCGATATTTTGAGAGGTGTACAACAAATCAAGCAGAATATTACATTTGAGCACGTTCTACAAAACATATGAGACAACAAACACATTCGTTTGTAAACCTACGTAAATCCAACTCCATACGCGTAACGTTTTTCACTGGCCGAACACTCATTACGGGTTGACCTCACAAGTACACACGAATCGATGAAGTTTTTGTTTTCGTATTCGTTTTCGTACTTATGCGAAATGTCCCTAATATCTATGAACAACTGTTCCTGTAACCAATGTCATCTATTTTAATCGGGGGGGGGGGGGCTGGATGGCTGAATGGTTAGCGTGCGCGCGCGCTGTATCATAAAGTCTGTCATTGAGTCAACTGGCGTGGTTTCGAATCCCCGGTTGTACGTGGCAAGGAGTAGGGTCGCCTGTCCAACCTCGTGGGTTTTCTCCGGGTCCTCCGGTTTCCTCCCACTGCTAAAGACCCCTACGCGCAAGCGAATTATTGAAATAAAATTAAACCATATGTTAGTCCCGAAATGACCTAGTTTGTGTCGAGTGGACGTTAAACCCCATCTCTCTCTCTCTCTCTCTCTCTCTCTCTCTCTCTCTATTTTAATCTGATAGTAGTATAACTGTTCCAGCAAGTTGCCTTTACATCATCTAGTTTTTAACTATTATAGTGAGAACTGTCACAATCTGATTAAAATATAGATCTATATTTCGTTTCGTTTTTTTATACTTTCGATGACCTACACTACATGAAGATCTGACAAGTTATAGCCATAGGTCACGTCTGGGGTCAAAAGACCGACTTATGATCTATGACGTCAGACATTTGATTAACCAATCAACATTGATGTTTCTAGTGGATTACCCACAGTTCCGTGCAAAAACACGCCTAAAGCTCGCCGTAACAGACCGTTTCATTGGCTTATCCCTGACACCATTCAGAACACGAGTTAAATAACAGCTCTTCCAGATCCAAGTGTAGTAAAGACAAGTAAAACGAAATTTTGAACTATAAAAACGAAACGAAATAGGATCTGTGTTTATCTAATCTCCCGTAATGTCCCTTTAAATATTGTATTTATTTAATATCTATGAACAACTGTTCCTGGTCGTCTATTTTAATTTGATATCAGTACGTGGGGGGGGGGGGGGCGAATGGTTAGCACGTGCGCGCTGAATCATAAGGCCTGTCATTGAGTCAACTGGTGTGGTTTCGAATCCCCGGTTGTACGTGACAAGGAGTAGGGTCGCCTGTCCAACGTCGTGGTTTTTTCTCCGGGTTCTCCGGTTTCCCCCCAGTGCTAAAGACCCCTACGCGCAAGCGAATTATGAAAATAAAATTGAACCATATAATAGTCCCGAAATGACCTAGTTTGTGTCGAGTGGACGTTAAACCCCATTTTTCTCTCTCTTCCCCCTAAGGTATGTTTTAATTCCAGGCCATGTTTTAGTATAGTGAGTAGTGGGGAAATGCCCACATACTGACTAAAATTGCTTTGCAGAGAAATAAAGAAATAGCGGTACTATATATTTCCCGTCAAAAGTCTAAACCTAGTAACTCACTTTTTTTTTTATCAAAATTGAGTTAGGGCCAAATTCGTAGTTACTAGGGTATGTGCTTTCTGTTGTTGTACTAGATATTCCAATCTCTTGATTTTGTAAGCAGTTACACCCATGACACAATCTAGCAACTTCCTTCATTTGCCTAGTATGCCACAGAAAAACCTAATAACTCAATAGTCAAATCAATGGATAAGCTGGAGTTTAATATTCATTCATTACGTTTTCCTTTGTTTTCTCAAAATAAGAAAAGCGTGAGTTACTAGTTGTTGCCTTTTGACGGCAGACATGTGATGTGATGGTGACGTTTTCGGGTCAATTTGAGAGAGAAAAACCACCATAGCTAATTATTACAAATTTAACACAAAGAACAGGGAATTTACATTCCAAAACACCGGTATGTCGAAATTCAAATATTTTCTCGGGCTCGGCGGTAAACCACTGCCCCCGATCCCTATGCCGCAATGACCAGGAAAATATGTGTAGTTGCAAGAGATAGAGCTAACAATTGCTCTTGTCTTATCACGACTAGACTACTGCAATGGACTTCTGGCAAATTCAAATCAGGAACAACTTAAACGGCTTCAAAATATTCAGAATACGGCAGCAAGAATTGTCACCAGGACTAAAAAGTTTGATCATATTACACCGATATTAAGAGAGCTACACTGGCTACCAGTATCCGCCCGAATAAATTTCAAAATTTTGACTACTGCTTACAAGTGTTTTCATGGAACCTCTCCAATATATCTTCAGAAACTACTCACGCTCTACAACCCAAAACGCCAACTTCGATCACAAAATTTGAGGCTTTTTACAGTTCCTCAGTTTTACTCCAAGACATATGGGATGCGATCCTTCCAATATGCTGCAGCCACCAAATGGAATGAGTTACCTATTGACATTAAATCATCTTCAAGTCTCAACATATTCAAAACTAAATTGAAAACTTTTCTTTTTCTAATCTGCTATTAGTATTGAACAACCAGCGCACAGAGCAGTGAATGTCAGCGCGATATAAATGCATATATTATTATTATTATTATTATTAGCCACCCGGCCACTCCCCCCCCCCCCCCCCACGTTAAATAGATTTTTGTTTACCTGTTCTGAGCCGAAAGTTTCGATATCAATCTCTGCATAGTTTCCAATCGTGACGACCACGACTATAGGAAGTTTGTCATGGTACCGTTCATACAGTTCCATAGCTGATAGATTCTCGTCTTCATGGTCCAGCTTTATATGGTTCTGGTAGTCCGTGTACGGTTCGGTAGAGATATTCATCTAAAATAAAACAGGTTTAAAGCAGACTTCAAACTTGAGATAAAGTGAAATGAAATTAGGTTTACCATATTACCCCGACTGGGCTAATGAAGACGAACATACGCTATACAGTGTGCTATGAATTAGAGAAAGTTTGTCTAAGTGGGTAAGACGCTGGCTCGCTAGCGTGGAGGTCGGGTGTTCGATCCCTGCATTGGCCGAGAGAGTTCATCCAGATTTTCCGGCGTGGTTCCCCCTTGTCAGTGATGCAGGACGGAGGGCCTGACAAGGACAGCTTCTAGTCCTTCGGATGAGACGAAAAACCATGGTCCCGTGTATACATTGGAATGCACGTAAAAGATCCCTTGGCAGCTGGAATTCGATATAAGAGTAGGCGATAGTTCCGCTGCCCGGGCAAAATTCCCTCATAGCACACTGTATGGTGTATGCCCGTCTTCATTAGCCCAGTATAGTAGCAGAACAGTAGGACGTTAAACCCCATTTCATTTCATTTCTGTATTTAAGATAAATAACGTTTATTGCTTTGAAGAAAACTATAAAAGTAATATGACGGTTTGTCAGATGACTGTGATATAATATAATATGATTAACACCATACAAAGACCTGACTGATGTCTTTTATAAATGAAATAAATATTGTAACATTATGCAGTGACGATATGAATGTGCGCATTGTATACTTTATATTCAACTATGAACTTGCCATGATCGAATATCATATGTCTATCATATATCAAGAGAGAGATAGTGAGAGAGAGAGAAAGAGAGAGAGAGAGAGAGATGGGGTTTAACGTCCACTCGACACAAACTAGGTCATTTCGGGACTAACATATGGTTCAACCTTATTTCAATAATTCGCTTGCGCGTAGGGTCTTTAGCAGTGGGAGGAAACCGGAGGACCCGGAGAAAACCCACGAGGTTAGACAGGCGACCTTACTCCTTGTCACGTACAACCGGGGATTCGAAACCACGCAGAGAGAGAAAGAGATAGAGATAGAGGGAGGGGGGGTTAACGTCCACTCGACACAAACTAGGTCATTTCGGGACCAACACATGGTTCAATTCTATTTCAATAATTCGCTTGCGCGTAGGGGTCTTTAGCAGTGGGAGGAAACCGGAGGACCCGGAGAAACCCCACGAGGTTGGACAGGCGACTCTACTCCTTGTCACGTACAACCGATGATTCGAAACCACGCCAGTTGACTCAATGACACAGCGCGCACGTGCTAACCATTCGGCCATCCAATACCCCCCCCCCCCCATGCCAGATATCAATAAAGATCGAGAGAGGGATATGGTTCAACGTCCACACGAAACAAACTAGGCTGTTTCGAGACAAACAACCTACAGTTTGTATTGCAAGAATTGAGATTACAACCACAACCACTTGATTCAGTAATAGACCTTATGATCCAAACCGCAGGCTTCAGACCACTATCGACCACCCCAGAAGCAGAGGGCTAACAATGGTAGTTACGTGGTACCTTGTACCTTTTTAGCACAGGAAAAGAACACAGATATATAAAGTTATACTTACTATTTTAGTGATTTTCTTGTAGTAGATGTCCTTGTATGTAATTGCTGTATAGATAGATAGGCCTATATGTATATATAGTTATCTTGTGTAACGTACTACTTCCCGGTTTGGATCACGTGATCTGAATGACACCCATTTAAAGGGAAATTGTTTAATGTATAAAAATGAGATTTTCCATTGAATTTTCGGAATTTCTTTTACAAAGAATAGCTATTTTGTACATTTGCCACCCACGCTTACAGCGTTTTTGTCATCATTCGTAAAATGAGAGAGAGAGAGAGAGAGAGAGAGAGAGAGAGATGGGGTTTAACGTCCACTCGACACAAAAACTAGGTCATTTCGGGACTAACACATAGTTAAATTTTATTTCAATAATTCGCTTGCGCGTAGGGGTCTTTAGCAGTGGGAGGAAACCGGAGGACCCGGAGAAAACCCACGGGGTTGGAAGGCGACCCTACTCATTGTCACGTACAACCGGGAAATCGAAACCCCTCCAGTTGACTCAATGACAGACCGTATGATACAGCGCGCTTGCTAACCATTCGGCCATCAAATCCCCCAAAATGAAAAAGAATATGCCAGCCAGGCTTAAAAATATATAATGTAAGATTTAGATAAAGGACTGACTGGTTTTGCTATTAAAAGTTCATAACTGAAATGAAATAAAATGGGGTTTAACGTCTTACTGTTCTGCTCCTAACCTGGGCTAATGAAGACGGGCATACGCCTTACAGTGTGCTATGGCCTACTCTTATATCGATTTCCAACTGCCAAGGGATCTTTTACGTGCATTCCAATGTATACACGGGACCTCGGTTTTTCGTCTCATCCGAAGGACTATACAGCTGTCATTTTCAGGCCCTCAGTTCTGCAACACTGACAAGGAGGAACCACGTCGGAAAATCCAGATGAACTTTCTCGGCCAATGCAGGGGATCGAACACCAAAAGTTCATAACTAGATAATGCAAAATGAATATATTGAACATTTCATTTAAATTACTTTTTTCAGAGCCAAGTTAGCACTGTCTGTAGTTTTTACAAAATGTGTGCATTGAGTGTTTATTATCGGAACCAGGTTACCGGTATATTCCAGGCTTAGCCTCGCTTCGCCATTTTAAAATTAAATCATTAAATAGCCGAACTGTTCTAATCTAGTTAAAATTTCGAGTATCCGGTGGCATCGAGAGTTGATAATGTTCTTGTCTAATTAATAATTTATATAACATTTAAGGTCTAAAGAAAGACCTGCAATGGGCAAATTTAGCTCTTGAAAAATGTATCTTGAATAATGTATCTTGACTTATGTATCTTGAATAAGGTATCTTGAATAATGTATCTTGAATAAGGTATCTTGAATAATGTATCAATCTTTAACGGCACCAACAGGCAGATGCATTCGCACCTATGTTTCTTCTTTTTCGTGTACAGCGATCTTCCAAACTACCAGTGACTGATCTGGCCAGGGTCTTCATTCTGCAACACTGACAAGAATGAAACCACGCTGGAAAATACAGAGGAACTTATTCGGCCATCATTGAAAAATGTCCTGGCTATTGAGCTAACGACTTACACAACTGTCTTGTTTGTGTTTTGAGAGAGAGAGAGAGAGAGAGAGAGAGAGAGAGAGAGATTAACGTCCACTCGACACAAACTAGGTCATTTCGGGACTAACATATAGTTTAATTTTATTTCAATAATTCGCGTGCGCGTAGGGCTCTTTAGCAGTGGGAGGAAACCGGTTGTGTTTTTGAACTGGTTATATATAGGTAATGGAATAAAATGAAATGAAATGGGGTTTTATTGTCCTACTGGGCTAATGAAGACGGGCACACGCTATACAGTATGTTATGAATGATGTTATGAAATGAAATGGGTTTAACGTCCTACTATTCTGCTCCGACTGGGCTAAAGAAGACGTGTATACGCCATACAGTGGGCTATGGGTGACAGTTTCCCCGGACAGTGACAATACGGCCTATTCTTATATCGATTTCCAAGTCAAGGGTTCTTCTCCGAACGACTATTCGTTGTCGCTTGCCAGGCCCTTCGTCCTACACCTCTGACAAGAGCGGGGGGGGGGGGGCACGCCGGATATTACCGATAAACGTTCTCGGCCACCGTACAATGTCCTTACACAAAACTAGTTTATTGATGAGCGGACGTTAAGACACAGAAACTTTAATGACGTGGAGGCAGCACGACGCCATATTGGTTAACCCAAAAACAGTTTTTGTCCCCCGCCTTTCGAAGAAAGCAGGGGACTATTAAAATGGGTTCGTCCGTCCGTCTGTCTGTCTTTCACACTTTTGGGACACAATAACCCTCTTTTTAATTGAGCTAGAATGTTCAAACTTGGTGTGGGTGTTTATTAGGTCAATGCCTTGATGGAGTTCCAAGATTAGCATTTTCTGCTTAGGTTAAGCAGAGATAAGCAATTTGATTGGTTGATGCTTTGGGACACAATAACTTAGTTCTATTTAAGCGAGAGTGGTGAAACTTGGTGTATAGTTTTATTACATCAATACCTTGACTAAGTTCGACAATGAGCATTTTCTGCTCAGGGTAAGCAGAGCGATAAGTAATTGCATTGGCCGAGACTCTGGAACACAATAACTCTCTTTCTAATTGAGCTAGAATGTTCAAACTTGGTATAGGTGTTTATTAGGTCAATGCCTTGATGGAGTTCGTAGATGAGCATTTTCTGCGTAGGGTAAGCAGAGACAAGCAATTCGATTGGTTGATGCTTTGGGACACGATAACTTTAGTTCTAATTAAGTGAGAGTGATGAAACTTGGTGTATAGTTTCATTACATGAATACCTTGACTAAGTTCGATCATGAGCATTTTTTGCTGAGGGTAAGCAGAGTGATAAGCAATTTGATTGGTCGAGACTATGGAACACAATAACCCTCCTTCTAATTGAGGTAGAATGTTCAAACTTGGCGTGGGTGTCTATTAGGTGAATGTTTAAACTTGGTGTAGATGTTCATTAGGTGAATGTCTTGACTGAGTTCAATAATTAACATTTCGAGCTGAAGCTAAGCAGAGCTAATCGATTTCATTTGTCGATGGTTTGGGACAAGATAATCTTGATTCTATCTGATAGAGAGTGATGAAACTTAGTGAAAAAAATAAATGTGCGATTAATTAATATGTGTCATCTATTTATTTTGCAATGTCGGCGGGGGACATCAGCCTCACTGTTGGCTTGTTTTTTTTTCAATCTGACGTTATGGTGGTCTGCTCCAGGTAAACGTCAAACCACATTTATCTTTAGCTTGTAAAACCTCTAGCAGACGACGCTTTTATTTATGTGAGACCTGCGTGCATTACTTCATATCCTTGTGTAATGTCGTTTGTTGACGGCTGTGTGAGTATAAATCAATACCCACACACACACGCTGTGACTAGTATTGCATATATCACTGTTCCGCTCAACTGCATTATGATAACTGTACTAAACTTAGCGACATGCGTCATAATACCTACTATACGAAACTAAGGAAGATATTATATTGAAGCTCGCCATTACAGATGAGTCAAAGGTCAAGGACGTCTTTACCGTTTATTTTGATTATTACAAAGGCAGGTGAATCTGCTGTCTGACGACTTGTACAAGTCTTGATGTCGTACTCGTTAGACTAATCCGTTGTAGCTGTGATGCGTTGAGACTTCTCCTACGACTGGGGTATTTCTTTGCTTCAGACGGGCATATTTCTCTCTCAAAAGTTACTCTTTAAATGGAAACTACAAACAGGAAGTTTTTATCATTAATCACGTGTTATTGTAATATGAAGTAAGATTTCTACACATGTATTACATGTTTGAATTACATCTCCATCATCAAACTTTAAACATTAGTTACCCTTGAAATGGAAACTACAAACAGGAGGTTATTATCATTAATCAAATGTTATTGTATAGTGTAATATGAGGTATGAGGTAAGATTTCTACACATGTATTACATGTTTGAATTACATCTCCATCATCAAACTTTAACTCTAGTTGCTGATATATAAAACATTAACCAGTAATAACGATGATTGTTCATACGAATATAAGGGAGAAAATCAAAGTGAATGAAAGAGATATCGAAAGACACGGGATGGGAGAGAGAGGGGAGAGAGAGAGAGGGGGGGGGGCGCTAGTCAACACGTGGTGGGTATGCTTTGTTCTCTATAACAGTCAGCCAGATTTTCTTGGTGAAATAATGGTTATAATTGTAATTATACTAAAAACACGCCAGTCGACTCAATGACAGACCTTATGATACAACGTGACTGCGTTAACCCCCCCCCCCACACACACACACACACACACACACAAAAATAATGTTGTGACAGTCAATTATAATATTTCACTTTGTTCTAGCTACAAGCTACATCTGATAAAATGTATGACAGTCAATTAACTGTAGTTTTTTTTAAATTTTATTCTAGCTATGCGTGTTAAAAGAGTTTCGAACTGCCCTTAAAGCATTTGGTATGGAGAATCTAGAAAAGGGTCCAATGACTGGTAAGGACAGGGTTCGTATGAAGATATGCAAACCACGTCTTATAGCGGGTATCGGTTCCCCACAAACTCTACTCGACCATTTAGACAGTCATGATGTATTTCTACGTGAAGAGAAACAAATGATTGACATGGAGAGGCTACCAAGTGATAAAGTTAGAAAGATGATCGACATATTGATAGATAATTGTCGTGGTGGGTTTTCAGCATTTGTTGAGTGTTTACGAGAAACCCGCCATTATAGCTTGGCTGATATGTTAGAAAGTAAGTTAGTATTTGTTCATCTGTGCTTGAAAGGCACCCGTAAGGCCAGAATGTGTATACAAAAGCTGCGAACCCTAAACTGTGCTGCATTAGGTGCCATATTCCGTACCTTAGGACCATAAAAAATGAACTGTATGCCATTTTAATAGTAGATGATTATAACATGTATTAATAGACATAGATATATCATTATTACACACATTAATAGATCTAGCAATGATATATATTTATTACATGTATTAAAGATACATTATATAAGATTTAGATAAAGAGCTAGCCATTCTTGCTATAATAATCTTTTAGAGGCATTTAGTAACTGATAGAGCAATACACAAAAACACATACTTATGGAAAAACAGCTACTTATTTATTTGGTCGACGTTTCCAAGAGTATTCTCTCAACGTTATCAAGCTGATTATAAATTATAGATATTAGTCTTTGAAGGTTTGGCAAGACGTGTGCAAAAAAAAATAATAACAACCATCAAAACTAAGTCTCGCTCCTCCATTTTTAGCTTAAATCAAAATATGACTGAGCTGTTCTAATCTATTTAATATCGGAGAAATCCGATGCCATCGAGAGTTGATTATGGCCTGGATAAGTTAATTAATGGCTAATTAATAATTTATATAACATTTCGGGCCTAAAGAAAGACCTGCAATAGACAGATTTAGCTCTTGCATAATGTATGTTTAATTTAATTAAAGACCAATATTATTTATATTGAAAACACGAATAATTATAATGTAATGTAAATACATCATCATACAGGCTTAGGCTAAGGAACTCACTTCCGGAAACATCCATACTGCCACTCCCCCAACTTCATGCATTACGGTTCTGTTTAATTACATGATCTTACAGGGTTAGACCCGGGGACCCACTTCCGGATACATCCATACTGCAACTGTTTAATTAAGTGGGATTAACGCCATATTGCACTTCTCCTACTGAGCTAATGAAGATCGACATACGCCTTGTAGTGTGCTGTGAGGAAAATTTGTCCTGACACCGGCGCTACGGCCTACTCATATTTCGAATTCCGACTGTCAAGGGTCCTTTTACGTTCACACCAATTACATATCAGGGGCCTGTTTCACGAAATTTTAACTAAGATAAAATCCAAATTTTATTAATTTGATTGGATAATATTAGATTGATTTTAGTGCTTAGCCAATCAAAAATTGAAGTATCTACTAAAATTTAAATTTTATCTTTAGTTAAAATTTCGTGAAACAGGACCCTGGCCCCGAGTTCACAAAGCATTCTCAGACTTAAGTTAAGAATTTACTCAACTTTCAATCAACTTCTATCAGAAATGTTTTTGATCCAGAAACACAAAACTTTGAACATAGTTTATTATTTATGTATTTGATACATTAAAAAACAAAAGTTTTTATAAAGCGCTATATTTTAGATAAAATAAGGCAAACAATTTTGTGTAAATTCTTAACTTAAGCCTGGGAATGCTTTGTGAACTCGGGGTGAGATATCATTAATTAACATATCTTAAAACTTTAGAGTAGTCAACAAGTTACAGGAAACTACGGTCTGATTAACATTACATATTACAACAGGTATATCCAGGCTAAGTACATCAAATCTAATGTCATCACATGTATCTGGCACGTGCTTGATAAAAGTTATATCTGAATGAACAGACAGGTAAATATACTAATGTCCAAAAGAAAGTATACACTAAGGTTGCAGCGATACCCCGGGGATGCCGCATTATCGCGATTATTTTTTTTCAAGTGATATCGTATCGGCCAAAGTTGAATAATCGCAATCCCCGGTATTTTAGGATTTTTTTGGGCGGAGGTCGGTGCAATAAATCCAAAGTTCATTTTCACCGGTGCGGGGGCCGGATCGAATTCGAAATAATAGTTTAATTACTACTTGTAAAATTATACAATAAAAATCGGTGAGAGAAAGTTCCCGAAACACATTTTGTAAACAAAGCCGCACGCGACATCGGTGTACCGTAGCAACGGTGCGGCGAATCCCCGGTTAACAAGACTGAAAATATTATGTTTATTTCAATGTTAAGTTAGTACTGTACGTCTGGTTGTTTAACCCGCCAAAACAAAGCAACCAAGTAACTCGACTTAGTCATCCAGCCGCTTTTTTCAAGTTATGAATCCGCACTCAGGTTCATCGATATGATTTTTTAAAACATACTTTGGGTGGTTTTTAATATTTTAGAAGTAATTAGAACATATATTTAAAACCATACGACTAAACTTTAATTAATGAGATATTTACAAACTAATAAATTTGTATATTTTTTATTGTTGAAAAACATACACTAACACAGCGGTTATACCATATTCAAGACTGGTCAATCGAGTCGGTGGTTTTTCCATTTCTCGTCTTTTACTCGGTCACAGTGCGTCGGCTGCTACAGAATAGAATTTAAACTGTAATTAATGATTAAAATGTCGAACGTCCAAAAAACACCTACCGATGCTATTAGACAATAGGCCTACAACAAGTGACTGCTTATAATGATCTTGATCAAGTTGATGTCGTTGATTTGTCGGCAAAGGCAAACACATCGTCTGTTGTGTGGAATTATTTTCATTTGGGATAAAGCCAAACGATGTTGGTGGTGAGAAAAATATCATGATAAAGAGAATTATCGTGATAAAATTGATAATCGTAGACTTTTATTTATCGCGATAATTCCAAAAGCAGTTATCATGATTAATGGCGATATCAGAATTTGATATCGTTGCAACCTTAGTATACACTGTGCATTTTGTGCTGCATCAACCAAAGTCGTTTTTCCATAGTATACGGTATTTGAGTAGAATGTCAATTTGTTTCACATTTTTATTTTGCTTAGAAATGTTGAGTTTGGACAGAAGAGACACACTTAGTAATGCTTTATCAAATGTTATTAAACTAAACAAAACTTAGTCATACTTTTAGTGTGTGTACTTTCTTTTGGGCATCAGTATATATCAGAGATAGTTTTGCCTCCTATATATCTAGTACTAGTACCGATTAGTTTTGTTTTCATTATAATTCCAATGACGTCTGTCTTTATTTTGAAGACTGTTTAGAGCGCCAAACCTCTGTACAGATACCAAATGATAGAACCAATTTACAAGCAGGCATAGATGAACCTATACAGAGACCAAATGATAGCACTTATCTAAAAACTTACCCAGATCAACCATTAGCTGCAGCCCCTCCACCTGCAACAGTCCGTCTTGTAAAAGGTAAGAAGGAACATGACTTTCAATAATGCATGAATGAATGAAATGTTGTTTAATGACACGTCAGCTCCAACTGGGCTGTATTTGTGCTGTTTCTCGACACAAACTAGAAAACAAAAATCACAATATCATTTATATATCAGTAAATATCTTTCATGTTTTAAATATATATCACAAACTTTATGTTTATATATTTAAAACATGAAAGAGAAAATCAGATATATACAATTGAAATTTTCGATAAAAATGTGTCTCTTTATAAAGTCTAGCGCTTTACAATATAGACTCGATTGGGCAAACGACTGATGTAGTGATTGGCAACGATAGACTTTTAATAAAATACCCATTTAAAACCTATCCTTAATATACCTGCTAGTGAAGGTTTCTACGAGTCCCCTATATAGTACTTAAATATATCCATTTCAGGTTTTCAGTAATAGATTGACAGCTTTCTTTGAACATAACAGCCGATGCTGTTGTCCATAAGTCACCTATATACTACTTATATATCCATTTCAGATTTTCAATAATAAATGGACAGTTTTCTTTGAAAACATCAGCTGATAAAGTTATGCACCAGTGTTGTTTAGAAATAATATTTCATTTATAATTTGTCAAACTAATGTTGTTTTATTAATCAGAAGTAACACCTGGACTGCGATTATTGCAGAAAGAGCGTTTTAAATACTGGGTATGTTCCAGCGAGATAAATTTAGGCCCACGCCCCCAAGAACTTATCACACATCCACATTTGATGCATATTCCATTTGAGTTGGTTTGAACTCATGGTGAAACTTCCGATGCCAAAAGGAGGACAACCAACGACACCTGTCGGAACAACAGGGAGTAGGCGACCATACTCTTTACTATGTCATGTGTTTCCCTTTAACAAAAACGTAGGGGCAATAAACGTTTGCATGTCGGTTTTCGGATTTGGAGATATCTAACTTGAATTAATTGTAACATATTGTATTGTATTAATTGTATTATTAAACTTGCATTATGCAAGAGCAAAATCTGCTTATTACAAGTTTTTCTTTAGGCCTGAAATGTTATCTAAATTATCAATTAGACATTAATTAACTTATCCAGGCCATAATAAACTCTCGATGTCAAGGCTAGGCTTCGATGTTGGCTGGATTAGATTCCTATATGCCGCTAACGGCCAGTGATAATTAAATCAATAAAAGTGGATAATCGAGACTATGCTGTTTATGTTAATGATTTTAGTAATGATGACCGAGACTATGCAAAAATTTCACCCGCTTCTTTCTCGGCTCATAGTGAATCAATTTGACTGAAATTTTCAGCAAATTACCTTTACACTATCTAGTTTTTAACTATTATAGCGAGAACTGCCATCTCTTTATCTTATCTCCCATAATGTATCTTTAATTAATTAATTAATTAATTAATTAATTAATTATGTATTAATAATAAATTATTATTATTATTATTGTTCCAGATTTTTATCCTAAAGAATGTGGTCGTATGCCAGAGCACGAATATCAAAAGATCCAGAGTAATTTTCACTTTTTGTTAAAAAATTTAAATCCGGGTCCTCTGTGTATAAAACTTTTTGAAATGGGTGTGTTTGATGAAGATGACAAGGATAAAATAGAGCGAGCACAGGGTCGTACAGAGAAGTGTGATAAGCTACTGATGATTCTGCTCGAATGTGGCATAAACGCTTTTAGCAAGTTCTTAACTGCCCTATCTGATACGGGGCATGGGCAAGCGAGGGCAGTACTAGAACTAACAGATATACGAGTAACACAAGTGTAGTAGAACGCTGCTACATTCTGCATACTATCTGCTACGGGGCATGAACGAGAGAGGACATTATTAGAACTAACAGAAATACGTGCAACAAAAGTGTCGTAGCATGCATCAGCAGTATCAGTCTACATTCTTCACACTACATGTATCTGCTACGGGGCATGAACAAGAGAGGACTTTATTAGAACTAACAGAAATATGTGCAACACAAGCGTCATAGCAAGCATGAGCAGCATTAGTCTACATTCTGCACACAGAGAACTAAGTACTCTACTTTGAGAATAAATCTCTGCCCTAAATGACCGCCATATCCAACAATTAGTATACTGTTTTAGGTCCTACTCCGGTTCACATCTGTTATACACAAAAAGACTAATTAAACCTTTTCAATTTCATTCAATGAAAGCAGAATATATACTTATCAAACTTCTCGAAATATATTTAGTGTTTTCGACTAAAATCTTCAAATTTAGGACTTAAATTGTCGTTCAACTAGCTTAGTCTCTATTCTTATGGGGAGGTAATTGTAGAGGGTAGGGAGTTATCCATCTACGGGTTGGGGAGTTATCGGATTAAAATTTTAACAGTCGAAATGCGATGAATTTAAATATGTAACACCAGATGAAATAAATTATATTCATTTCAACTACGTCATGTTCGCTGCCATTTTTATTATTATTATTACAGCATATTTGTCATGAAAAATACAAGATTATGGACATGTTAACAGTTGCATACAGAATCAGTTAAAATCTTGTTTAAATAAATATTTTAAGTTGTTTTGTAAAAGAATATAGAAACGTGCAACATCTTAAACTAAATGGTAAATTATTCCATAAAACAGGTGCTTGAAAACTGCACGAGACTAGTTGAACAGTTTTAGGGTTTAAAAGTTGTTTATCTGATGTATGTAATGTTCGACCAGGTGTATAAAGTTCTAAAAGACCTGGGGTAACACAGGGGCTAAATTATTGACAGTAAGTAATAAATAATAAAACCAATTCGATATTTAACGAAAATGTCAACATATACACTGGACCTCGCTTACCATCCGAACGACTACATAATGCTCATCGTGGACCAACTTCTAGACTTCGGCTACCATCTGAACGACTACATAATGCTCATCCTGGACCACCATCTGAACGACTACATAAAGTTCATCCTGGACCAACATGTAGACCTCGGTTACCATTTGATAGTTCAGCTCTGAACGTAGGTCTCATTACACTTGCCTTGTACGTTTAGGAACTGCCCTATTGAATCCATGTCGAAAAAGTTTCGGCCCCTAGTCAATTTTACTGGGCAACTGTTTACTGCTAAACGATCGCCTGTCAGTCCCTGTGAACGCATGGATAATGTAAAGGAAAATAAGACTTTGCCTACCTCGCTAGAGTCAGTATGTGCGACACAACATGCTGTTAAAAATACGTCCCCTTCTGCCAAAGGCTTGGCAGAAACCATTAATAACTAAATATATGGTAACGTACAAATTTACGTAACTCGGTCATATATGACGAAACGAATTTTAGGTAAGCGGGGGGGGGGGACAAATTGGAATCTTTGAAAAGTTGAGAATCTTCAGTCATTTATTGCTTTGCCTAAACAAATTACAATCGAATGTTTTCAAAAATTCCAATTTTGTTTCACATATACAGATATAAATATACATAAAACGTACAACATTTATTTACCATTGTTCTTCTTAGCGTTTAACGTCCGATTCCGCCAAAGGTTATATCGCAGACAAGTCTAATTTTTTTTTTATTATCTTAGCGAACGCGCAGGGGTCTTTTAGCCGCAAGCTAGAGGTCGAAGCGCGGCACTCTAGAGCGCTAGCCCCCCCCCCCCTCCTCATTATTTGACATTCCGATCATCTAAATATTTACAGCAACAAAGAACGAAATGTGTCACAATCATCTGATAAAAATATTGAATTGGAATTCAAACACTCTGCTTCGAGTCTAGACCAATTAATACGTCAACAAAAAACGCTAAGCAAAAGGGGAACAAATTCCCGCTGTCAAAACTATTTTTAAATATATATTTAAATCCGTTATCTGTGTGTATCGAAGCCATGAATATTTACCGAACCCAAACAGAAAATAGCAATTCAAACATTCTTCTGCTAAAAAGACCATGGAAACGCGGAGGAAGAAAATGGGAGAGGGGGAGAGAATTGTTATAATATTTCGACGCACTGGAAATTCATGGTGGTCTGCATCCTATATGTAAACAAGTAATTATCTCCCTTGTATGTAAACACCTAATTATATCCCGAGTATGTAGAAAATATTTTCCATCGACTTTCGTCTTGATTTCTTGCGATAGCTGGGTAGGAACGTATCGTGGTATTTAAACTCTGTAACACCAAGGTGCACAGTGTGGCATTTTATCAAGATCCAAATGACTACACTGGTAATGTTACAAATAACAAAATTATTGGGAATTCCCCAATCTACGCCTGTTTACACACCAATCCTTTCGCCTCAAATTCCTTAATATCAATCCACTGAAAACAAAAAGATATACTGTCCATTTCATCAATTCGAGATCCCACGTCAGGCAAAAAATTGTTGCATAAATGGGAAAAGAAGGAGAAAGGATTTATGTTTAGTAAATAGCAATTATTACTGGAACTACAGTATGTCAACGTTAGTTAGCTCCCTTGAACATATAGTTCAATACTGATGCGTAATACATGAATATATAAACAGGTATAGTATGTTTATTGTGTATTATATTTTGATATTTCTGACAAAATGAGTCTAAATGTGCTACAGGCAAAACAATTTGAAGAATATGGATTTTGGTCGAAATAGATTTTCACATAAATATACCGTCCAGCAATCCCAAAGATCAGTATAGCACTACAACATCTTAAATTGCCTGTGTTTGGTAGCTTTGTAAGAGTTTTGTATTCATAAATCTGTATTTTGTCTGAAAAGTCTTTGTGTAATAGTGAAATTGTACACAAAACAATGTTTCGTAATAATATGCGAATTCTACACTTTATTCGATCCAACGATTTATTTTGTTGAAGTTAAGAGGCACCTATTACATTAATACTATATAATATCTTCCTGTTTATAGTTTCGGTTGATAAAAATAGATATACGTACAATGACACGCCACGCAATGCAATGACAAAGGGTATTTCACTAACCAAACTACTTTATATTGTGATGAAACGTAATATCATGGAAGATTTTCGAGCGAATATACCTTGTAGTTTGTAAGATACGAGTCCAATATTAATAAGAAGAAAACTGTGTGAATAGGGTAATATTTTAATAGCAAAGTTGGCCCATAATCCATAAACATCTTATGGGATATAACTCTAAATCAACGCCTTTATTTTGTTCCCTAACAAAATGGCTTAACCCTTGTGCGTATACAAGTGGTATTTCCGGACCCCACGACCATATCCTTAACGTTTGTGAGGAACTGGGTCATAATTGGCTAGAGAGAATTTTATATTGTCAGCTATTTAATGTCGAGTATTATGCTGTAAATAGAATGTACGCGAGGATGTTGCAATATTCATCATTTGACAAGAAACTACGAGTATTACATTATCGTACACAAGGGGTCTTGTGGACCCCCCTCTACGGTGGCTGATAAGGGACATGAAAAATAATATAATTTGTTTTTTTATAATTTTCACCCAAATCAATTTTAATTTTCACCCAAGTCAATTTTAATATAATTTGTTTTTTATAATTTTCACCCAAGTCAATTTTAATTTTCACCCAAGTCATTTGTAATTTAATTTCAATTCTGTTGAAGTTCCACCCAGCGCGTGACGTCATCTCAATTAGCCTCGTTTCCAATGTAATGTATTGTGTTTTATCTTATATGGTTCTTATACTGTAATTAGCAGATTGCAATGTATTATGTTTTACCTTATATCAAATAGATATTTTTATACGCCCACATTTTCATATGGGCGTATATTGTCGTCACCCCTGTCCGTCCGGACGTCCATCCATAATTTGTTTGTGGACACTATACAGGTCACAATTCTTATCCGATTTTTACGAGACTTGAAATATAGGTTTATCTCCAAAAGATCTAGGTTCCATTCGATATTGGCATGATTGTACGAAAAGTCACTTTTTTTAGCGTGTGGACACTCTAGAGGTCACAATTATCATCTGGTTTCTTTCGATATTCGCGCTTATTGGATCTTAAATTTCTGAATTACGTACGTCCCTTGATTGTACGAAAAATCTCGTTCTTAGCTTGTGGTCCCTCTAGAGGTCACAATTTGTATCCGACTTAAAAAACGTTTGAATATATCACCGTTACGCCCTAGTGATGATTGAGTTCGAATTTTCTGAAAATCTGATCGAAACTGCCGGACAAAATGGTCGCCCCTCGTACGCAAACTTTGAGAGAGAGAGAGAGAGAGAGAGAGAGAGAGAGGTGGGTTTAACGTCCACTCGACACAAACTAGGTCATTTCGGGGCTAACATATGATTTAATTTTATTTCAATAATTCGCTTGCGCGTCGGTGTCTTTAGCAATGGGAGGAAACCGGAGGACCCGGAGAAACCCCACGAGGCTGGACGCAAACTTTGATGAAACTTAAAATATATATCCCAAATATCTCAGTCCATGTCGATATTCGCGCATTTCAGACCATAACTTCATGGATTATGGCCCCTGATTGTATGAAAAATAGCTTTTTTATTGCTTGTTCTCAATCCCACTCTTGCAGAATATGGGCATATCTTGCCTGACAACCGCTGGTTCTCATACTGTAATTAGCAGATTGTAATGTATTATGTTTTACCTTTATATTAAAGAGATATTTTTCTCATTCTGTAATTACATGTATCAGATTGTAATAGATTATGATTTACCTTATATCAAATATTACTATCAAAAAGCCATTACTAGTGTAATAAAGATTTTTGATATTATCACATGATGACTTTTTGGGGGAACACAAGCAGGCCTGTCAACGTCTCAGAGCCAGAAATGAGGCCTGTAATTACATTTGATTTATACTTTATGGACTGAAATTATCACAAGATCTCTAAATCAAAGGGAAGAAATCTTGACTTTCATTAAATGTTCAGAATTGAAAGGGGGGGGGGCGAATAGTTAACGTGTGTGCATTGCATCATAATTCAAGTGGCGTGGTTTCGATTTTTTCCCGCTCGTACGTGGCAAGGAGTAGGGTTGTTCGTCCAGTACTCCAGTTTCCTTCCATTACTAAAGACCACTACACACAAACTGACTACTGAAATGAATGAGTTATAGTCCTGAAATGACCTAATTTGTGTCGAGTGGATGTTACGCACCAAAATATCGATTCAAGTATCTTGCGAGAACCTCCCTGGGGAGATTTGCTGTATAAATAGGCCTATATTGGAAAGTGTAATAAACTTTTTTTTTGAAAATATCCAAAAATTAAACTGAAAGGAAACACCAAATCCAGTTGAAGTGCCCTAAGTCCAAGAAAAGAGACCCTCTGTGTCTTGTAAGAAAAGAGGCCCTCTGACTTCATGGCAAAGCTATCTGGTTTTTTTCCAGTAGTAAGGCCAAGAGCCATGCGTGTGACCCATCATTCATTAGTGCATACTGTATTCAGTAACCCAGTCGAAGTTTGACGTTAAACCGCCATTTCATTTTATTTCAATACATATCACTGTCAGATCCCGACTAAGATTGTGTCGACCCCTGCACGTTTATTTTCCCAATGGCGTTCGAAAATTAGTGTTTTGGAAACGAGGCTAATTGAGATGACATCACGCGCTGGGTGAAAATTCAACAGAATTGAAATTATATTACAAATGACTTGGGTGAAAATTAAAATTGACTTGGGTGAAAATTATAAAAAACAAATTAAATTACAAATGACTTGGGTGGAAATTAAAATTGACTTGGGTGAAAATTATAAAAAACAAATTATATTAAAATTGACTTGGGTGAAAATTATAAAAATAAAATTATATTAAAATTGACTTGGGTGAAAATTGTAAAAAACAAATTATATTAAAATTGACTTGGGTGAAAATTATAAAAAAAAAATTATATTTAAATTGACTTGGGTGAATATTCAAAAAAACAAATTATATTATTTTTCATGTCCCTTATCAGCTACCGTACCCCTGCCCTTTCCTTTCATTTACTTTCTGGTTACAAGTGTCTAATCTATTCTGCGCTCGGTGCTAGCTTTTATTTGGAATCTTTCTTACTGGTGATATTGTTTTGGCCATTCTAGTAATCTAGATTTGAAAGCAAATCTACGTACTCTACTAACCCCATCAAAAGACGGATTCTACATGGAAATGTGTATGTGTAGATTTGTATGGTTTCAAAAATACCTTATAATTAATATCGTCACTGTTAATGCCTAAAATATTTTTTGTTCACCCTGATTGATTATTATTCAGTCTTGATATGAAGCTGTAATTTGATCGTATTAGAATAAAATTATGCACCAAAAAACCTATTTTTGTCTGGGGTCTTAGATTATCCCTTGTTGCCGACAACGTTTTTCGTGCACAAGGCTTAAGCCATAGAGATGTCTTGTGGTTTTAGCGAAATATTGGTCAAGGGGTCTTAAATTGGGTGGAAATGTGCTAAGGTTGTTGGTCATTTTATAAGTATATAGGATGGTCTTTCATAACTGTTTTGTTTGCCTTGGGGGATGGGGCTGTAGGGAGGCGGTTTGATGTCTAAAATTGGTGGGAAATGTGATAATGTTTATGAAAATCTTTTAGTTTATTATTGTTAAAACATTAATTTAGAGCTATATTTATAAGTGTATACGGTGCCTCTTGGACAACCGTTACCTCCGTAACGTTGTTTTGTTAAATTGTATCTTTACAAAATTGTATTCTGTTGTATTTCGTAATATACTTAACAAATAAATAAATATCTTAAGAATGCTTATTTGCATTTCTTTACTTGCTTAACAAGGAATTCATTTAAATTATCGAATTTTATTTCGTAACTTGTTTAGAATTCAAATGATTCTGCAAAATATTCGTACTAGGGGATCCCAAACCCCCACCCCCTTGAGAATAAATTAGCTTAATATATACTTAGATTTTTGTGTATTTCATCAGTGGTAATAACGCCTGGTTGTATGTGAAGCAGTGACTGTTTGAGTAGTCTTTTTAATCAGTATTTAATAATTTATTGAACCAGTGTGTCATACTTAGTTTTCATACTTTCTGTGGGTCACATGTTTTTATAGGCTCGTCTTCTTCCGCTCCTCAAACCCACATTGAAGATTTCAACCAAATATATCAACTGAATAAATATTTTTCAAGCTTATGAGGGATACAATCCACTTATTTTGTAGAAATGAGACAAGAATCGTAGCTATACAGAATTAATAAATGGCATTAGCGATGACTTTTTACTTGGTTCCCCCCATCTGTATATACAATGTATACTGATGTCCAAAAGAAAGTATACACACTAAAAGTATGACCAAGTTTTGTTTAGATTAAAAACATTTGATAAAGCATTACTGAGTTTGTCTCTTGCGTCCAAACTCAACATTTCTAAGCAAAATAAAAATGTGAAACAAATTGACATTCTACCCAAATACCGTATACCATGGAAAAACGACTTTGGTTGATGCAGCACAAACAGCTCAGTGTATACTTTCTTTTGGACATTAGTATATATGTGTGTATGTTTCTTTTAATTACTTTATTGCAGGCGACATGGCAATCCCACCACCTGATAAACAAATAAGAGTAGTAATGGTTGGTAAGACAGGGTGTGGCAAAAGCGCGATGGGCAATTCGTTGCTTAACCATTCAGTGTTTCTGTCCGAGACAAAGGTACTAGATAATAGAGCAGCAATTGAAGTCATTGATGCGCCAGGACTGTTTGATACCAAGAAAACCATTACGCACAGATCAGAAGAATTTTATTCTTCATTTTGTCTAACACCACCAGGCCCGCATGTATTTGTCTACGTTATTAAAATAGATGATAGGATTACTGATGAATGCATACGTTCCTTCAACCTGCTTAAGGATATATTTGGTCCACAAATCATCCAGTACCTTGTTATAGTTTTCAATTGGGAACCTAAAGATCGGGACACAACATTAACGATACAAGAATCAGAATATTTGAAGGAAATCATAAAGGAATGTCAAGACAGATATGTATGTTTGGACGATGTTGAAAAGCCAAGTTATGGAAACTGTGGAAATCTTCTTAACATGATCCTTGACACTGTTAGGCGCAATGGCGGAAGTCACTATACACGTGATATGTATAGCAGGGCTGTAGAACAATATAATGCTAAACTGAAACTAGTGGAAGATAACCGGAAACTGGCACAGCAAGTGCAAGTGTTAAAAGGTTTAATTGCAAAAGAGGAATTGAAGAATAAACAAACAGGTATTTCCATTAACCTAACTAAGGAATGTAGTTTAAGAACACCATGCTCACGAGATTTAGAGTCCGGGGTCAAACACATAGAATACTCGATAGCGTCAATGAGCTATGGTTAGGTTTACGGTTAGTTCATCAATGCTTGAAAAGTAGGGGGTCACGGTGGCTAAATGGGTAAGACGCTGGCTCGCTAGCCTGGAGGTCGGGTGTTCGATCCCTGCATTGGGCGAGAAAATTCATCCAAATTTTCCGGCGTGGTTCCCCCTTGTCAATGATCCAGAACGGAGGGATTGACAAGGACAGCTGTCTAGTCGTTCGGATGGGACGAAAAACCGAAGTCCCGTGTACACATTAGCGTAGAAGATCCCTTGACAGTTGGAATTCGATATACGAGTAGGCCGTGGTGCCGCTGTCCGGGCAAAATTTTCCTCATAGCACGCTGTATGGCGTATGCTCGTCTTCATTAGCCCAGTATGGTTAGGTTCACGGTTAGGTCACCAATGCTTGAAAAATATTTACATTATTCATGAGGCAATCTTTATACTTATGAAAAACCTTGTCCCTATGGTAATAACATACCCAGCCATTAATCATTTTGCACTCTTCTTTACAGGTTTCGTGGAAAGGGGACGAATGCCGACGGCCCAGTTTAACAAAATACAGGCAAATTACATAGCTTTACAGAAACACATAGAAAATCCCCGTGATCTTTGCGGATTATTGTTTTCTGCTTCTGTATTTGACGAAGAGTACAAAAGAATAATAGAGTCCAAAAAAGATCGAATTGAGCTGACAGATAAATTATTAATGACCTTGACAGAGTGTGGTCAAAGCGCCTATGATAAATTTTTACTGGCACTTTCTGCTACGGGCCACTACAAGGCAAGACAAATACTAGAACAAGGTAGATATAAATGCACTTTTTAAGGTACCCCTTTAAACACACTTCTTATAGTTATTTAACACATTAATAATGTTTTTATGTACATGCTCCTAATGTTCCTATTCAATATCAAATTTGGTAATTTATTAATTCCTGGTCTTGTGCTATTTTGTACATTAAAGAAGTATAAAAATTGATGATGTTCCTTTATAGATACACCGTCGTCATTAGCCCAGTTAGAAGCAGAACAGTAAGACGTTAAATTCAATTTCATTTCATTTCTTTATAGATGCATGTGAAGATGTTGCGGCTGTCAAAGATAATAGTAAGTCTCATTTTACATTAAATGTTGCACGACACATCGGATGGAAATACAATGAAAAAGTTTCCTTCGATATCGAATCTGTTACAGAAAGCTGTTACCATGGACTACCGATAATACCTACCTACAAACTTGATTCAGCGAAAAGACAAGATCCTATTCGGGAAGAGCATCACTTATAGTAATATACAAACCATATAAGATGTGGTCTACTTGAGGATAGTTGACATCCTAACCTTTTCAAGACACCATAGTGGTCACTTATTAAATAGGTTTTCGTCGTACGTGAATAATCAAAATCGTTGAATGGTCGGATACTGCTGACTTACATTGAGGTGTTCCTAGATGTTATCCACGTGATCCACGCGCATCAAATGTCCCCAAACTTTTTCGATTTTTTTTTTTTTATTGTAGTTAATGTTATACGAACCCACAGTTGATATAAAAATCACCAGCAGAATCTCCAGATTTTGATCCAAAAAAGCGACAAATGTAAAGACTTATTTAAAATATGAAACTTTGTTTCAAACATGAAACACAAATCCTACAGATCCAGATAGTCAAACTATATACTCCTGGCCATTTAGCGCATCTGATTACGGCCTATCAGGATACATGATTCTGTTGCCCGCTAAGCATGCATACTTACAAAGTGTCTTTATTTACATTAATCATTTTTGTTCTTTTATTAGGGTACTTGGGTATGAACATAAAGTTTCCAGATCTAAAATACCATTCTGAATATAGTGATCCAAATAGCGACAAATATAAAGAATTGAAAGATGAACTAGAAACGTTAATTAGAGAGTATGGGTGTGACGCAACGGTAATAAGCCTCAGGTATGTTTTTTGGTTTATTTTGTATTGTGGCAGAAATCAGATATTTCCTCGATTGATCGAAAAGTGTGGTCGAATGGACAATAAACCCCCTCTAAATTATCATGGCGAATTACTGCGTAAAATATTACAGTGTTTTTGTTTGTGCTCAATGATCTTCCTCAACTAAAATCTTTATTGAGAAAATTCTTCTCGAAAATCTGCACACATGACTATCACACCGTTTTTCATCATCCTCATTTATGAAAACAAATTCCTAAAATACTTAAAACAGTTGAAAATTTGTCATAAATTAATTGATATCGTTCTGAGGTATCTTAAATTCACGCTTTGATCACTAGCATGATCTGACTGATAATAATGAAGGAGTCGGAAATAGCTGTTGAAATAGGCCTAGGAAACAGGAACTATACCAAAAAATTGACATTTGCTGACATGACGTCAGAACAGTACACATAGCAAGCGCAAGAATCATAGAGATCACATAGTTTTTATAGGGTATTTTTTGAGGATGTAAGCACAAACTACAATTGTCCAAACAAGAACTAGCTACAAAATTATGATAACGGTCTGCAATTTAAAAAATAAATGGCCGAGAAAGTCCATCCAGATTTTCCGGCGTGGTTCCGCTTTGTCAGTGATGCAGGACGGAGAGCCTGACAAGGACAGCTGTCTAGTCGTTCGGATGCGACGAAAAACCGAGGTTCCATGTACACATTGGCGTGCACGTAAAAGATCTCTTGGCAGTTGGAATTCGATATAAGAGTAGGCGTATGCCCGTCTTCATTAGCCCAGTTTAGGAGCAGAACAGTAGGACGTTAAACCCCATTTTATTTCATTTCATTTCTATTGTCTTACATAAAATTAGGATGATTAGTTCTTTTACGCGTGAATATTAAAGATACATTATGTAAGATTTAAATAAAGAGCTTGCTATTCTTGCTATAACAGTTCCAAAGTAGACAATGTAAAATGAATAATTTGAAAATTTCATTCCATTTACTCTATTTCGAGCGAAGATATTAGCCTTTGAAGGTTTGACAAGTCGTGTGCAATAATGTCAACCACCGTACTGGTTGTTCAAAGCTAAGTCTCGCTCCTCCATTTTTATAGCTTAAATCAAAATATGGCTGAACTGTTCTAATCTATTTAATATCGGAGAAACCCGATGCCACCGAGAGTTGATTATGGCCTGGATAAGTTAATTAATGTCTAATTAATAATTAAGAAAACATTTCAGTCCTTAAGAAAGAACTGCAATAGGCAGATTTAGCTCTTGCATATTGTATGTTTAAGTTTTAATGGAATTACAAAGGTGGAAGATATGTTTTTTGGAATTAATGGCCGGATTCCATTTGGCCCTGGGTACTTTGAGGAGTTGAATATTTTTAATTGATCTTCAACCTCTCGTTCAGCTATGAACAAATCAATCATTTTGATACCAAGGGGGATAATTCTTGCGAGGTATCTATTAGTGATTTTAGATATAAAATCACCTTTCACCTTTTGTGTGAGTGAAATTACCTACTTTATAATTTTACGGAAGATTACCCAATGGTTTATGTTACTTGACTTTTCGGCACGCTTATGAGCTCGGTTTCTATGTCGACATTTCGGATAGATGCCGATGTTCATGAAAGGTTTATCATTAAGTCTTATTTAGTATGAATATAAACTGAAGTATTTTCGTCAAGGATTATGTATATATTTTTACTTTTGAATAGTAGGCGTACAAGGCGAATACTTGATGGAAACAGAATTTTCAATAATAATCGAAACTATACAGACAGTGATGTTTTATTTTGTCAGGTGATTGTCAATAATACTCTAAATTATAGAGTAGAGACAGTGATGTTTTATTTTGTCTAGTGAAATCTACAAACACGCTCTACTTGCTCGGCGGTAGTTCCACGTTCCAATGGTCGGGTATTCCAAAACAAGCATTTTGATCAAACTCTAAACTTACTGGTAGAAATCTAACTACCCAGAAAAAAAGTGCAAGCTACAGCGTTTCTAGCTTTCTGCTTTGTATTGTGGAAGATAACACGCTATAAATGTTTTTATTACAGTCAATTTGTTTTCATTTGACCTTTTCATTTGATTAATTATATGATGAATACTATTGACAAATTAAAAGTAACTATCACAGTACATTAATATGTTAAATGAAATGAAAATGTGTTTAATGTTCTATTCTTTTGCATGAGGTTCGAAATAGGATTTCAGAGACACATCTGATAATTTTGAATACCTAAGAATAGTGGAATATGTGGCTAACCAAAGCTTGTATCAGTTCGTGGTATAAGTGATACTATATAATGACACACTACATGTATATGTATATACTTGTATTTCGGATAAATCCTACCATTAACTATTTGATTTTATTTCTAGCCATGACCCCGTTGTTGTAAGTTTTGTTTTTACTACGTCTTCTACGACAGATGACGACAATGTATTAGAAATCTTACACAAGGCTCTGAAGCCTGGCTACTTAGGTCACTACAAAGTATCAACAGATGATTTTCTATTTTGTCGAATTGGAGGTTAGTACTTAACATAATATATATATATATATATATACACAATAATATATACGAAAACTGATATTGCATCATATCACCTAAAATTCTACTACTACAAATTATTTCAAATTCTATTAATAGGACTAACTGAAAATATTAGTGATATATTATATTTTGTACACCAACATTTAATATAGTTAAACATAAAACGTTATTCATTTTGTCTTAATATACTAAACCATGGGATCTACCTTCTGATTTACAGCATGGTTAACTAACAGGAACACCGATGACACAGAAGAAGTAACTCCAGTAATTGGAGATGAAAATACAGTTAGCTCAACTGAGCAGTACGTATATGGAATGTTTTACCCTTAACTAGCATCTATCACTGAACTGTTTGGAATTGTATGGGGATGTAATGGGGTGGTTTATCTGATTGTTTTAGTGTGCCACCAGTTCATTTGCTAGTCACGTTTTAATGAGTGTATTTCATGATTCCTTGATGTGTATCGAGAGAGAGAGGGAGAAATGGGGTTTAACGTCCACTCAACACAAACTAGGTCATTTCGGGACCAACATATGGTTCAACTTTATTTCAATAATTCGCTTGCGTATAGGGGTCTTTTTAGCAGTGGGAGGAAACCAGAGGACCCGGAGAAAACCCATGAGGTTGGACAGGTGACCCTACTCCTTGTCACGTACAACCGGGGATTCGAAACCACCCCAGTTGACTCAATGACAGGCTTTACGATACAGCGCGCACGCGTTTACCATTCGGCCATCCAACCCCCCATGATGTGTATGAATATTATGTTTTATATTATAGACAAAGTGGTGGTGTTATTGTTGAATGCGTTTTAACTACTTCGAAGTCTGAATTAAATAACTTACACCCAATCCTAGAAACAGCCGTAAAATCTGGCAGCTTTGGCCCATACAAGGTTTCAACAGACCAATTCTCTTTTCATCAAATTGGAGGTAAGTTTTATACTTCTTTGGAATCAGATATTACGTGGTCATATATTTTTTTTATCTAGTTGTGGTAATTCTAAGCGAATAAAAACTTTTTTTTATACAAATATATTGTTGCTCAAGTCCTTTGGACAAGATACCAATATTAAGAGTCCAAATTGCAGATTTCATGAAACACATGTTTAACAGAAACAAAAAGTAACCAATTTTGTTTATGATTAATTTTGAAATTATTGTGGCGAAGCTACCGTGGGATATCTATAAGGCTTAGGTGGCTGAAGGTGAAAATATTTACAAGGGGCTTACGATCACATCATATGCCTTGCCATCAAACAGATTGCGAAATAGGCTTTCATGGCGACTTTTAGGAGCATGTTCCCAACTCTCAATATCCGATGAATTGCCAAGAATGCTCATAAACATCTATGAATGCTTCGCGATCCCATTGCGTATTAGGCACTGTGAGAACAGTATACGTGACAATTAAAAGCAGAAGTAAGGGTAAATGATTACCCTTAAAGTACACCAGCAATTTAAACAATGTCTTACTACACATCATATTTTTTAGTTCCACACCCCCCACATTTATTTTCGGTGATTTATTCGGGAATATTATTGACGTGAACTTCCACGTCAGTATGTGAATTTGATATGAAAAATTTTCTGAACGGTGCACTGTTTGTCGTTATTTTTGTATATTATAATTATACAAGATTCTCCACAACAAGTTACCAAGAATTATTTTTGTTGAGAAGTCTGTTTTTATCAAAGGGAATGGAATGGAAGCTTGCAATTACCCTATTCCCTGTCCCGTTTGTTTCAAATTGGATTAATAACCCTGTTTTGCACTTTAATACAAACGTTGTAATGTCAGAGTCCTTTAGTACACCACATACTGATCCTTGATTAAGTCAGTTATAAAGAAAAACACATTTTTGCCTCGGTGTGCTGCTGCTGAAAACTTTTTTGGCCTTGATGCCCCAATCATTGGCCTTGGTGCCCCTAAATTTGGCCAAAAACCCGAGGCCAAACTGACAGTGCCCTAAAAAGATTAGAATTTGAGGCCTGGTAACGGTGATATAATAATACGTTTTTTTAAATCGGATAAAAATTATTACCTCTATAGGTTCCCAAAGCTAAGAACGTGATTTTTTGTCCATTCAAGGGCCATAATTCAGGAAGTTACGGTCCGATATGCGCGAATATCAAAAGGAACCGAGATCTTTGGATTAAAAACTTACATTTTAAGTTTCAGAAAAATTGGATTAAAATTGTGACCTCTATGGGGTCCACAACCTTGATATACCATAATATTTACTTGAGAACGAACGGCAGCCATTTTGTTAGTCAATTTTGGGCCGACTTTAACAAAATTCGAACTCAGCCGTCCATAGGGCGTAACGGTGATCTAATAATACGTTTTTTTTAAATCGGAGAGGGTCCACAAGCTAAATACGCGATTTTTCATACAATCAGAGGCCATAATTTAAGAAGTTAAGGTCAGATATGCGCGAATATCGAAACAAACCGCGATCTTTGGGTTATAAACTTACATTTCAAGTTTCAACCAAATCGGTTAAAAATTGTGACCTCTATAGGGTTCAAAAGCTAAAAAAGTGATTTTTCGTACAAAAAGGGGCCATAATCAATGAAGTTTCGATCTGATACATGCCAATATCGAAACAGCCGAGATCTTTTGGAGATAAACCTATATTTCAAGTTTCGTCAAAATCGGATAAGAATTTTGGCCTGTAGAGAGTCCACAAACAAATTGTGGACGGACGGACAGGGGCGACGACAATATACGTCCACATGAAAACGCGGGCGTATAAAAATTGTGACCTGTAGACTGTTTAGAAACAATTGTGGAAGGACGGCCAGGACAGGACAGGACAGGACAGGAGTGACGACAATACACGTTCACATGAAAATGTGGGCGTATAAAAATTGTGACCTGTAGAGTTGTCCACAAAAAATTAATATTCATATACTCAAGGACAGGTGTATTGTAATTTGGATAGGGCCAGACTATAAACCCTTACAGTTTACACATTTCATGTGTTTTCTTCCATCTTTTGTACCATTCAACCCACCGAGGTGACTAATACAAGTGGATATTCAATGTTGCTATCAATCACCACCACACCTTATTCGGCCACATTCATAGGTGATGGTATTCTGGTTTGATTAACCTAAAAATAAAACAACAAAAAAATGTTCAGGTAAAGATTCATCCTGAAAAAAAGTAATCAAGGGGGTTATTTCCAATAAAAAAAAGTATTGCAAGTTTGGATATGGGGTCTAACAATAACATCCACTCGTTACAAACTAGGTCATTTTGGGAGCAACAACATATGGTTCTATTTTTATTTCAATAATTCGCTTGCGGTAAGGTCTTTAGCAGTGGAAGGACACCGTAGAAACTGGAGAAAAACAATGAGGTTTGATAGGCGCCCTTACTCCTCATGTACAGCCGAGAAATTGAAACCACGTAATTACTTTCCTGAAGAAGTTAATGTCGAGTTTGGAATGTGTCATGTTTTTTTTGTTCAAGCAACAATCCCAAGGATAATAATTTACATAATCAAATTGTGTTTAATGTCTACTTTTATGCTGAGCGGTACCTTTTGCTATAGGACATCTGGACAACTTAACCAAATTTAGGACTTAACAGTGTTTGGACATGTTTATTACCCCCCCCCCCCCCAAAAAAAAAACCACCTGTATTTTGTTTTAAACACAGTTTTGAGAGTTTGCCTACTAATATTAAAATTCCCCAATGGGCCAAATATTATTCTTTTTTTTTAATAAAAATACATATCGGACCAGTTAAATAAACGGAAGATAAAAGCAAGAAGGACAAATCCTATTGATATCATTGTAATTAGCCTAGATCTAATTATTCTAATGTTAATTATATCTTTACTTTAGTTACGGTACAGGAATTCCAATTTCTCTCTGCAATATTTTCTTATTTAAAGATACATGTACATAATGGGAGATTTTTTATAAGGAGTTAGCCATTCTTGCTATAACAGTTCAAAAATAGATGATAAAAGAAGAATATATTGAAAATTTCAGTCAAATTACTTTATTCTGAACATAGTTTAGGGCCTAGTTATCACCACTCCCACCAGTGTAATTTTAGACTAGAAATGGGATTGAATTCCATCTTCACTGATTCTTAGTATGGCCGATCGTTTGATTGACAGGCGTTAACTCCACCTACATAATCTCTGCTGTCTTTTGTCTGCTGTCATCATATTCGAATTTGTGTTTTACCTTTTTGGATTTTTATAACAATTGGACAAAATGAGTGGGTAAATTTTCATTCTTACTTTTATTTCGGACATGCATTAAATCATTGGAGAAATAAAAATATTTTTATTGATATTATTAAGACAGAAGACCTGTCCATCTGTATTAGTCATCACACGGTCTCCAGGAATTGTAAAATTTGTCATTATCTGTGTTTAGTTTATTGCACTTTAAATAGTATAGATGTCATTTGTTAATGCATCGCCCAACAGCCGCCTCGCTCTGTACACTCTATCATTTAGCCTCGATCCGGGAGTATGACGTCAACGTAACGGATCTCCGCTCACGAGATTTAACATTAAATCGGTCAACGAAATCCCGTTTAAATCCAAGCTGAGTCCAAGCCATCCGTGGGTCTACAGAGTTGATTTTGTGCTTGTTGTGTAAATAAAGATCTAATTTATAACTGGCAGTGGATAAACGACCGGTTACCGGTTCTTTAACGAAAAATTTACTACGAAACCGGATATTGTGAATTACGGTTCCCAACCCTAACGCATTTTCTAATGTCTGCGTATCTCTTCGCCAATATGTCACTTTATTCTTAAATTCAAATTGTTTCATCGCCTCTAAAAGTGAATTTAGAGTCGTAAAGCCTGTAGAGGCTGCCATATTGGAAAATAACCACATGTTAAAATTGGCCAATCAGAGACGATATATCGGAAGCCGTTAGCCGGTCGTTTATCCACTTTCTTTATAATTTCTATGACATCTGAAGCCTAAATAAAAAAGACTTGCAATATAATCAGATTTAGCTCTTGCATGTTTAATATTCATTCTTGTTTTACTGCTAATTTCACAAAATAATATATACTGAAATTAATAATTCTATAGGACGTAATAAATTAAGGTTATGTAAGATTTTTAAAAGAATAGCAATAGCAATACGCTGTGGCTTAAAGAGTAAGATGCAGGCTCAATGACCAGGCTCCCAGTTGCCCGAGACAGGTCATTAGAATTTTCTGACATGGTTTCTCTTTGTCAGCGGTGTAGGACGGAGGGCCTGTCAAGAATTTGCTTCTATTTGGTGTAGTTTGGACCAAAGGCAAAATTGAGGTGCCATGTACACATTGGTGTGCACGTAAAAGAGCCTGAGGTCCTGTGTACTCATGTGTGTGCATGTAAAAGAACCCATAGCAGTTGTAATTTGATATAAGAGTAGGTCATACGATATATGTCAATGTAAAATTACCCTCATATCACACTGCACATTCTGTGTTTGTATATAGTCCGATCAACACAAACCAGGTCACTTCCAAGGTAACATTTGGTTCTATGCTTGTGTCTCTTTTTTTCAGTGCAGGGGTTGGATGCATGGTCTAGTGGTTAACGTGTGCACATGAAATCACAAGGTCTGTCGTTGAGTCACGTGACATGGTTTCGATTTCATACTTAGGTTTGCCTGTCCAACCTCGTGGGTTTTCTTTGGGCCCTCCGGTTTCCTTCCCTGCTAAAGACCCTTAAGCACAAGCGAATTATTGAACAGTAAACCCCAGTAATCTCCCTTCTCTCTTTAGCGGTGGACACACTAGCCAAATCATTTGGCCGAATCAATCTGTGCCAAATCACAGCCAAATTAATTCGACCCAATGTGTGGTCACACTTGCCGAATCCTTCACCCGATTCACCAGTCAATTGCATCACCTTGGTCTTAAAACAATCACATGACTTTTCGATATATGATTGGTGATTGGCTAATGAATTCTACAATCTTGTGATTGTTTCGGCGAAGCGGACACACTAGGCGAATATAATTCGGCCGAATACTCAAAACGTGTGATTTGGGCGAATATTCGGCGGAATGACAGTGGACACTATAGGGGAATATCAGCACCAATTGATTCGACTAGTTTGTCCACCGCTTTTTCAAAACAAAGGAATGTGCACTTACTCATTTGAACAACAATAAAATGTTAGAAGCATAAAATATTGTAAACATAGGATATACAAATTTAATAGCTATCATTTTCACATGCAAAATTGTATATATATTTTATGGCCAACTTGAATTTTTATTTGACAAAAATGTATGATGGAAAATTGAAACACAGGTAAAAATTTTAATTCTCAGCAAACCATATAGCCTGTAATATAACTTACAAAATCTTACTTCGCTTTACATTAGTCCATTTTTTTTTTTGATGTTCTACTTTATTTTTTGTAAAGTAATTGATATCCAATTTTATAGGGATTGGTTATTTTAATAAAGTTTTTCTTACAAAATCTTCTCTGACAAACTAGTTAAACATCACAGCATAGGCTATAGTACAAAATTAAATGAGAGCAAACCCTTTTTTCAGTCAGATGTAAAACTATTGCCTATTCGTGGCTTTGGTCTTTTAAAATATCGTATTGAATGAAATGTTTAAAATGTGTACCGTACTGACTATACACATCAAATCTCATCCAAGGATTACCAAATTTCCAGCAAATTTACTCTTACCGTGTAGCCTAGACCCCATGATGGCGTGTTGTTATTTTTAGGTACCTGAATGACCGAATCATTGATAGAAATTCCAAGTTTATTGAGCTTCTTGAAGGCGGTAGCCTAATGAAAGAAATGTCGACTGTGTCCGTTATCTCTTTCGAGAATCCCCAACCGGGTATATACAGTAAAGCGCTAGATTTTTTAAAAGAGACAAATTTTTATCGAAAATTTTAATTGTATATATTTGATTTTCACCTTCATGTTTTAAATATATATACATAAAGTTTATATTTAGTTTTATTTGATATTTACTGTGATATTTGTTTTTATTTATGTATATATAGATAATGTGATTATTTGTTTCTAGTTTGTCTCGTAACATCATCATATGTTTGGCGCAGTATAGCCCGGTTGGAGCTGACGTGCCATTAAACAACATTTCATTCATTCATTCTTTCGAGAATCACCGCTAATCGCTATATTATATACGACTCGTTAGTTACGATTACGTTTCTGCCATGGCGACAGTATAATTTGAAATAATATAATGTCAAATAAGGCATGCTTGTATATATTACATATCGTGTGAAGCCACATTAGGCTCTAATGAAATTCAACTATCAAAAAAACATTCAATTGTCGTCGGCCATTTTGATTATGCCAATGGCTGTTCCCTCATTTTTTAAAGACGGAACGAAACAGCAAATAACCACCAATTGGATTAATTATTATGTGTAATTACTGACTACAGGATTAAATTTCCCGCAACAGAAAGGGGGATACCGAAATAATAAACTGTGTATTTAGTATTTGGACTTCCTGGAGAGCGAACCCCGCTAATGACATATTTTTAGACAGACGCAATTTTTCTACATTTACTTCAGTTGATTCAGCGTACCGTTAAAGCAAAGACAGGGCTAAATGATTTTTCGACTCACGAATAAAGTAAAATAAATAAAAGAATATAATATTTTATTTATTATTTTTTTTTTCTAGTCGGCAAAATAAAGTGGACTAAAATACCGAGCGATGTCATTTTGGTCTGTATAGTTGTAGCCACTCTGCGGTGGTGCGAAAGTATTTCGGTATCGATATTCCCATTATTCGTTCCATCAATTTTTGGGGCACCGAAATGTCTTTAAATTGAGTAATGGCTATGGATTTAAAACAGTTCAGGCGGTATATATAACAAAACGGTGACTCCGAAACATTTTTTTTAATTGAGCGGGCGGAGTGGTGTGCACTGTGCGCCACATTTTATTTCATTATTTGTTTCATTATTTTTTTCAAGATTTGGAATAGTCTTTCAAAAGTGCAGTTGTATATAGACTAACTTTCAGAAGTGTTAATGTCATCCAGATACATTATATGCTATCTTTCAGAAGTGTTAATGACACGCAGTTCTATATAGACTATCTTTCAGAAGTGACGATGAAATGATCGTTTTTTAAAACAGTCTTTCAGAAGTGACGATGAAATGATCATCTATATCCACTATCTCCGAGAAGTGTCAACGGCATGCAATTGTATATCGACTGTCTTTCAGAAGTGACGATAAAATGCTGTAAAAACAGACCATCTTTTGGAAGTGTCGCTGAAATTAGCATTTCGATGGAGTTTTTATAACACTTGAAAGGAAGTGTCTTTGGAAATGTTTTTAAAGTGAATACCTCGCTTGAGGTGTTTCTAGAAGTATGTTGGGGGGTTGGGTGGCTGAATGGTTAGCGTGAGCGCGCTGTATCATAAAGTCTGTCATTGAGTCGACTGGCGTGGTTTCGAATCCCCGGTTGTACGTGGCAAGGAGTAGGGTCGCCTGTCCAACCTCGTGGGTTTTCACCGGGTCCTCCGGTTTCCTCCCACTGCTAAAGACCCCTACGCGCAAGCGAATTATGTAAATAAAATTAAACCATATGTTAGTCCCGAAATGACCTAGTTTGTGTCGAGTGGACGTTAAACCCCATTTCTCTCTCTCTCCCTCCTAGAAGTATGTTAGAAATGAACATTCCGGTTGAGTTTTTTAAACACTTCAGGGGAAGCGTTTCTAGAAGTTTGTCAGAAATGAACACTTCGTCGGAAGTGTTCCTAGAAGTGTGTCAGAAATGAACACTTCATAGGAAGTGAACACTTCATTTCGGTACGAAATCTGAATTCAGATACACGAATCTGCAAAAAAGGCCTGGTGCTGTAAAGTCTTCGGCTGTAAAATGGTCGTTATTTATAGATCAGCAATATGATGTGTTTGTGGCTCGAATATGAGAAGAACAACTTGAATTGTTTGTTGACTTTCAATGTCGACTATGTGATAACCCATTCGCAAGTATCTCTGTCGATCTGCAACAACCCCGGTGATTGGTGTACGTGTGTGGTTAATGTTTTTCCCCGCGTTTATTTTTCAGGGTGGTTAAATGAGAAAGCAGAGAAATCTGATGAACTGGGAGCTGGTGCAAGTAGTGTTATGTTAAATGAACAGTAAGCTTATTTATAATATATTGGGTTCTAGTTATGTCAATATACTACCAATTCCCTTCCTATAGCTAATCACTCCATATAATAAGCAAAAAAAAAAAAAAAAAAAATCCTGGCAGGTTGCAGGTGTGATTTAGGAGCCTTCCGGATTATCATGTTAGGTTTGATGGGTTAATTAATGTCCGAAATAGTGAAGGAATAAATTAGGTGAGGTCAATAGTAGTGTTAGTGTATCTATGTTTGATGTGATGTAACAATAGGCTAATACATGTTCATACGTGCGATTGTCTCTTTATCACGTCATGGCATGCTTACTGACCAGTGTATATTACTTTGAAGTCATGTGGAGCTTGTACACAGGGCATATGTAGTTTGTAAATGACATGGGATTAATTACATGATTAATTAAATCATAATCAGTTCGTGCCTTAACAGAAGTTTATACGAGTTGAAAAGTTAATATAATATATTATCAAAAGGAGCGTAGGTCAATAAGTTCTATACACCTAAATGATTATTCAGTTTAATGAAAGTTATAGAGTACTTTGTCACACAACGAAACATTTATATTTTTCATAGGGCTACCCTGCCCGACAAGATGAAAACCGACAAGTCGAATTTTAAAAGCACATCTTCGAGTAGAAACATTAGAAAGCGAGATGCAGAGCCGCTTACACATTCTAGTAGCAGAATGGATACTTCAAGTACTTCGGACGTATCAGTGACACCCCAAACAGAACCAGTCATGTCTGGTACTGATTATAAGGCAGAACAGCACCCCAAAGGTACAGTATATACACACTACATAAAATGCCCTCAAAATCGTTATTATTTTGCCGTGGGTAACGATGAAAACAAATTGGTCAATATTAATTAATAAAGAGTTACTTAATATTGATGTTATTTGTCATAAATATTGGTACTTTGGACTCCCCGCTAAATACTATTTTGATTTTTGTTTTATATTAGTTGATAAGGTGCTAAAATATGAGGGACTTTCAATAATTTGTGGAAGCAGCTACCAAATTCTGTCAGTAGATATCGGATCGGCATGATGTTTTGGTATTACATAATAGTAAAAATAACCTAACTGTCGTACCAGTCATGCGTTTGGTAGCGCTTATTGCTTGAACAATAAACAATCTCATTGGAATAGGATTTATACAGAATGATACTCTTCTTTTTGTCTAAATCTAGAACATGCAAATTTTGGGCGCACTTTAGATCCGTATTCTTGTCTCAGATCACTGGAAATGGCATTTCCAGGCTTCTAGATCGAAATTTTCCTGTGTGTGTTCTCTGGACCCACCTATCACACGGCCGTAATAAACTCTCTAGGCCATGTGAGCCTTTGAAACAACACTTATATCCCGTCTGATAATAACTATAAATATATGAACTTTTATTTCAGTGTCACGACAGACGACGGCTACTAGTGACCGTGAAGGTAAGTTCACTTATATATGTATTATATCAATAGAAGTGAAATGAAGTGAAATGGGGTTGAACGTCCTACTGTTCTGCTCCTAAACTGGGCTAATGAAGACGGACATATGCCATACAGTGTGCTATGAGGGAAATTTTGCCCGGGCAGCGGCGCTACGGTCTACTCTTATATCGAATTCCAACTGCCAAGGGATCTTTTACGTGCACGGCAATATTTACACGGGACCTCAATTTATGTTTCGTCCCATCCGAACGACTAGACAGCTGTCCTTGTCAGGCTCTGCGTCCTGCATCACTGACAAGGGGAGACCACGCCGGAAAATCTGGATGAACTTTCTCGGCCAATGCAGGGATCGAACACCCGACCTCCAGGCTAGCGAGCCAGCGTCTCACCCACTTAGCCACCGTGATCCCCCTATATCAATAGATGTATAAAGTCGACTTAAAGCTGCATTATTCAAGAGCTAAATCGGTCTATTGGAGGTCTTTCTTTAGGCCTTAAATACTATATGAATTCTTATTTAGACATTTATTTACCCAACAAGACCATATTCAGCTCTCTAGGTCATCGGATGCTCTTGATTGGGAACGGATCCAAAAACGGTTATCTTATTTAAAAAATAGATAATCGAGAAGACTTTAGTTACTATCGGAACAGCGATAGCAATTACAATCGAGACAATTCTATTCTTCAAACAACCAAATCTTACCAAACAATGAAGAAATTTGACTGCCATTTTCAACATAATCCCCTTGCATTATCTATTTTTTAACTATGATAACGAGAACTGTCAGCTCTTTATCTAAATCTCACATAATGCACCTTTAACATAGAAAAAGAAGCTTAAACATACATTATGCAAAAGCTAAATCTCCGTATTGCAGGTCTTTCTTTAGACCCGAAATGTTATCTAAATTGTTAATTAGACATTAATTAAAGATACATTATGGGAGATTAGATAAAGAGTTGACAGTTCTCACTATAATAGTTAAAAACTAGATAATGTAAAGACAATTTGTTGAAAATTTCAGTCAAATTGATACACTATGAACCGAGAATTAAGCGGTTGAATGTTCCGCCTAGCCTTGATCACCATTACTAAAGTCGGTACGATTATCCAGTTAATCATTAAATCGTGAAGGAAAGTTCTGCAGCAAATTGGATCATGATCCAACAAATATCGCAGGCTAGCGTTGACATCGAGAGTTGATTATGATCAATATTGGTGTTGTTATCTTACCGTGAAAATACGGGTGCCACATTGGCTAAGTGGATAATGTGCTGGCTCGCTAGTCGCGGGTTTTCACTTGTCAGTGGTGCAGGACAGCGCTCAGATGGACCCGTGTAGACATCGGAATGCACGTAAAAGATACCCTGGCAGTTGGAAGTCGATATAAGTGTAGGCCTTTGCGCCGCTGTCCGGGCAAAATTGGCCTCATACTGTATGGCGTATGCATGCCCGTCTTCATTAGCCACGAAGAAGCATAGTAGGGCGTTAAACCCTATTTCATTTCCGTGAAAATACGGGATAAAGATATAAACTATTTAAGAAACAATACAAATTTCAAAAATTAGTACTCTATGGATATAATGGTTTCGAAAGCTATTTGTAATAAACAAAAATTAACATATCCCAGAAGACAATGGGGAAGTAATTAAAATGGCTGATTCACAAACTATAAGATAATAATTTTTTTTTAAAAAGTGAAGAATAAACTAAGCAGGCACGTCAACTGTCGTGCAGTTTTGGACTGTTTGCATATTTCACGGTACATAATTGATTAGAAACTACAATAAATGTTTTAAAAACTCAATATAAATCATTTTATTTAAATTCATATTTATAAGTGTTTTATTTTAAAGTTCCAATTAATACAGCTATACGCCCTTTAACTTGACAAAAATGTAGAACAAGAATACGACTATTACTGGGATGAACAAAAAAAGAATGCGGGACATTATAGATATATTTAAAAAATAAGACTCAAAGATTACATCTCTAAACGAATTTTCATTTCTACATGGTATGCCTACTCATTCTAGAACATCTCATACCATGTCTCTTTTGAGGAGTTCACATAGTATGCTTATATACTCTTTCTAGAACAACTAGCACAATTTCTGAGAAGAGAGGAGTTCACATAGTTTGCTTACTCTTTATATAACATCTGATACTACTTCCGATTGAATGAGTTCACATAGTTTGTTTACTCTTTATATAAAATTTGATAACACTTCCCATTGAAAGAGTTCACATAGTATATACTTACTCTTTCCAGAACACCTTACACAATTTCTGAGCAGGGAGGAGTTCACATAGTATACATATTCTTTATATAACATCTAATACCACTTGCCATTTGAGGAGTTCACACAGTATGCTTACTCTTTCTACACCACCTAACAAATTTCTGTTGCACCTTTGCATCTTCGGATTGTAGTCTAGATTTACTAGAGAGTTATGACAGGTTCGTTCTATTTTTCAGAATTGAGGGTGGTTTTGGTCGGGAAAACTGGTCGAGGTAAAAGTGCACTAGGAAACAGTTTACTGCGGTCAGTTTTTGGGTCATCAGCTTCGAGTAATTCGGTTACAAGCAACTGTACAGCCGGTTACCTGGATATTCAGGGTGACAAGAGGTTGGTTGTAGTTGACACACCGGGTTTATTCGATACCCGGGATACCAATGACGAAATTTCAAAAGAATTGGTTCGCTGTATTGCTCTTGCATGCCCTGGCCCACACGCGTTCTTGTTTGTTCTGAGTATTGACAGATTTACTCAGGAAGAACTGGATACGGTAGACCATCTACGGGAATTATTTGGAGAAGAGGTAATGCGTCACGTCATCTGTGTCTTTAGTTGTAAAGACTCACTAGAGACTAAGGGAATAACACTTGAAGAGTATATACAAAAATCACCACCACAACTTCGATCACTGATCGACAGATGTGGCGGGCGAGTGGCAACGATTAATAACCGTGCGCCAACTGGATCAATTGAGGGCGATGTTAATATAATTCTGAGTTTGGTAGAACAGACCATACTTTCTAACTGTGGTAAACACTACACGGATGCTATGTTTGTAGAAGCAGAGAAGGTTTACCAAAGCAGAGTAAAAGAACGGAAAGAAGAACTTGCCAAACAAGGTCAACGACTAATGGAGTATGAATTGAGAGAGCACTTTCGAAGGCAGGTTGAAGAAAATGATGGTATTCTACTAACGTTTGCCAAAGGTATTCACAATGTATTAACGAAAACAGGAACTGTAATTCGTCAAACAATCGGATCAACTTGGCTTGAGCTGAAAGGTTGTCTTTAATAACCAAACATTGTTCTAGCCTAACGCCTATTATTCGTTGTCAATCTAATTGAAATACAAATCTGTTGTTGTTCTAAGTGTTTAACGTCCGCTTCCGCCGAAGGTGATATCGCAGACAAGTCTTATTTTTCATTATCATTGTCTCAGTGCACGCGCAGGGGTCTTTCCTATGGGAGGAAACCGGAATGCCACGAGGTTGAGAAGGCACCCCATGGCCATCCCAACCCCTCATACAAATCTATATTTCGGTTCGCTTTTATACTTTAGACATCCTTACAAAACTACAGAAATGATTAAACAAAAAAAAGTTAACGCCCTAAACAATCGTCGTACTTGTTTCCAATTTGTAGAACACACACGGCCGATTGCTTACAGCGTACAAAAACAGAGTCAGGCCACGCCGACATCCGGTATATGCCTTGTCAAGCACAGTGTCCACATCCGGCTGGCAATATTTCAACTACCAATTACCTCCTGACTGATTGACGTTTTATCATTGTCAGCTAACTGAAAAAATTATTGCTACACAATTATTATATCTGATCATGTACGTATTATTTTACTAATTAGACGAAATAAGTCAACCACGATGTACTTTTACCCTATAAATAAGAGAAAACTGCCTTATCCCAAACATCTACCAACACCAACCAATTCTATGTTGTTAACATAACTACTTATGTCCCATGATCGTCATAAATAACAACAGGGTGGTGTCTATTTTGAAGTGAAAGTATACTTATTTGATGGAGAGGACAACAGTTTTATTGCTGCTTTGGGTAAATTTTGGAACGATAATACTAAACATTTCACGAAATAAGAAAATTGGCTTGTGTTAGTAGATTTGTTATTGTTTGGGGTAAGGCAGTTTCGTGATTGACTTATTTTGTCTAATTAGTAAAATAATATGTACGTCAATCAGTCAGGAGGTAATTGGTAGTTAAAATATTTCTAGTCGAGTGTGGATATTGTTCTCGGCAATTCATATACTGGATGTGAATGTGGCCTACCTCTATTTTTATACGCCGTAAGCAATCGGCCATGTTTGTTCTACAAAATGAAATCAAGTATGTCGATTGTTTAGAGCGTTAACTTTTTTTAATTTAATTATTTCTGTAGTTTTGAAATTGGAGTTCAGCTTTAATGCACTTTTCAAAGTGAATGGTACAAATTTCAATCTATTGTGATAGTCATATGTCAACTGTATATTTATAACACGTTTACTTAACATTTTGAATTGAAAGTTTATTTATAACACGTTTAATTAACATTTTGAATTGGAATTTTATTGTGCTGACACTACTGTTTGTGTGAATACAACCCCACATAACTTAAACATAAATATCTTTTATAACCCTATTACGATATGATCAAGGGGCATAAATACTTTATTTAATAATGCTTTCGGTAGTTCGATGTAAAGATCGTAATAAAACTGCGTAAATATGTTTTTTGGAGAATGTATAGTTTACTTGCACTTGCATTAAGCAACGGGCTAATCTTAAATCCCAGAGAATAAAGTGTTTATTTAAAGTAACTCAAGACAGAGATTAGTTTAGAACTGTTTTGTTTTTAATTTATAGTTCGGGTATTCCCTTGCTGTGTCTTCGTTTCGATTATTCCTCACAATAACACTAAAAATGTACGATCCATCGTTAACCAATAAAAACAGTAATTAGTTGTATTTTGGGGGTTAATTGTGAGTATCAAAATTACAGCTGTTGCGCCATCCTCTGATGTTGACCTACCATTATTTGGGTTTTATAGCGGCGGGGTGTGAAAAATTAAGTAAACAAAGAAATATCGAAAACAAAGAAATATCGAAAACAATGGATTATAGACTGTATCATTATTAGTACTGTTTATCTAGTTAACGGTTAACTATGTTAATGATTAAAATATATGTGATAATTTCATATGTCATCGGTTATCAAGTACCTTAAATATTATTCATTTATCTTGAATTCAAAATTTACTCATGAATTAATCAAATATATGATTAGAAACTCACTAACACTGTATACGCATATTTAGCACTCCAATTACTACATTTTTTTCTAAATATTATTGCGGAAATACTGAAGTGTTAACACGGTTTTAGTGATCGAACTGGTGATGTGAGTAAAAAGTGCTACTGATTATGCCACGCTATTTCATAATTTATGGGTTTATGATTTGTTTTTAATACATTTTTGTCTATTTCATGTAGATTGTGGTATATGTAATAAACTATATATAAAAGTGATTTTTGTTGAGTTTTCTTTTTTACCTAAACCACATTTCTGTGAAGCGGACTATCGTTTTAATAATTTTGTATTGATAATGTCCATGGTTGACTGCTCCTACAATGAGAACAGATAAAGGGAACAACGGGTGACCACCATTAGTTCAAATAATGTATAGTATGGGGCTGCCATCTTCGATAGAAGGCTTGATCTCGCTTTAACTACGTACATCTTATCAAGGCCTTCACGTAATACCCTGCATATTTCGGCACTAATTTTGATTGGGTACAAGCCGAGCTTGTGAGTCTATCAGATTCCTAGATCGTCGCGAATACTCAGTCGAGCGCTTTTAAGCTAAAATGTCTACCTGTGATAATCGAATTGCAATGTTAAAGGTTCGTTCAATGTCAAGGTTTCCGTGGAGGTCGCTGTGTCACAACCTCTGATTGGGCGCTATTGTTCACGTGTATGTAGATAACGTAGCTATACGTTTGGAAATGTAAAGTAACATAGCAACGTCCAGATGTTGTAAAACTCGCGGTCGTTGCTTCAGGAACATGGGGCGGGGGGAGGGGGGTTGCATTCATTTCTTTTCATTCCTAGCTAAACTTACTTTGGATTTTTTCTGTTTTATACATTGAGCCCCTTAGAAAAAGTCTGGGTAACACTCCCTGACCAGGTACATTTCATTTTCTTTTCTCTGCACAGCCAAATTAATGATAATGGCATGGCACCAATCGTCCAAAATAGTAAAATCAGTTTTCTTGGAATGATTCAAGAGTTGGTATAAGCATTTGAATTAAATGGAACATGGTTCCACGACATAAACTATCATTTTCAACCTCAAAATACACTATTTAGCCAAATTGTCTTAAAACAGCACTTTATATACAGTGTGGTATATACAGAGAATTACAATTTAATTTAGCCTAGTCACTATTATATATACATTCGGATATATACAACAATATCGAAAGTATTAAATATATATAAGGATATTGTTCTATCTTTACCAAATAATTTCTGTTATTTAATGGTCTGCCTCTCTATAGCACACAAGGATCTGAGTTTTATCATCAGCAATAAGCGTCTGGGTAATTAAGAGAGAGGCAAATAGAATTGGTAATATGAGATGGTTGAAGATGTTGGAAGCAAAGGGATGTATTCGGTTAGACCATATGATCCAGAGGTACAGATATATATTATATATGTTATCCTCGTGTAAATGCAATGTGCTATTTATATGAAAGCGTTTTGTGGAATATATATCGTTTATAAGTGTAGTAACGAAGGATTTACAGTGATGCCATTTAGGTCAGCGTTAAACAAGAAATGGCTGTAGATTTCATTAGTTTTTTTTGGCAAAATGGACATTTATAGTTATATCTACGTAAATATTTCGTGTGTGGAGAATATCTTTTGTACATTAATTCTTTTTTCCATTTCAGATAGTATAACACATTGATGTAAATTATGCCAAACTGTTTCAAATTTTATATGAGGTAGGTGTTTGTTTATTTTTGGTTGTACATTCTTACTATCAATGAGTGACCAGTCTATTTCAGCTTAATTTTGTTAGAGAATTTCATGTTTCATTTTAAATAAATGTAGGTGGTTTTAATCTCTTTATATTCAGAGTGAATGTATTTAATTGTGTGGTAGATTTTCTCTTGTGATGGGTTTAAATAAAAATATAGATTATGTTTTGTTGGTGCATGGCTTTAGTTTTTAAATCAACCTTTGGAATTTTTAACCCACCTGCTGTGTATACGAGATTCAGGGTGTTCCTTCTAATTATTTTCACACGAGTTTGACCAAATAAAATTGTATATTAGTTTATGTTTGTAATATTATAAGGAGAAGGAAGAATGATTCGAGCAACAAACTAGAGTTTGCTTAATGTGTATTTGATTAGAATGCAAACATTTTCTTAAATGGATAGGTTCTAAGTAGACCAGCGACTAATATATAGTTGATGTTATTGTTATGATGAGTGGTAGGCTAACCAGTGTTTCCATTTTATTAATCCTAAGCCAATTGCCCAATAAGTTAATTGCGTCCGTTTTAATGTTTATATTTTCAGGACACGAGTCTTGGGATGGTTTACCAACACAGAGGATTTCGGTTTTATCATGATTGAGTTGAGAGCCAGATATGGTGCCAAAATTGTTCAAGAAGTTAACTGTCCTCTGCATGTTGAACGAGCTTAATCTCTGATGGGTTGTTATGGATTCTGATGCCTTTTATAAAGATGTTTCTGTTTATTCACGAAGCAAGGGGATTTATACATAAGGAATTTAATTAAGGATCATGGATAATGGACATCCTTGATGAATCAAACTGGCAATTTTAATATTTTATGAAAATGATCCATTTACTTGAACTTTACTATCCAAGTTTTTAAACAGTATTGTAACCCAATTAAAGCTATAATTTGGAAAATTCTTATATTTTAGTGAATGTTTAAATAATTGTGTTCAATACGATCAAAAACAAGCTATCGAAAATGCTTTTATTTGGTCCGGGTCCAGTTTGTGTTTTAGAGATTAATTTGTTAATAACTGTGTTCATCTTAAAATTGGTAGTTTTATGATTTTATAGTCGACACTTGACAGATTTATCAATATGTAGTTCTGAAGTAGTCGGTGATCGCCTGCATTCTTATAATTAATTGTTATTATACCAGTTCTCATTGTGTTAGCTAATACACCCTGTAAATAGATGCCAGTTTTTACTTTTGTTATATTGGTTCCTATGGTGTCAAAGAATTTAATGTAAAATTTAATGTAGAAATCTCCTGGAATGCCGGCTATACCGGGACTACGGTTTGCTCTGAAACTTTTCAAGGCCTTTAGAACTTCATCTATTTCCAGTTGTTGACAAATGTTTCTGAGGACATGTTTGTTTTGGAATGTTAAAGCTTGACAAATTTTTTGTGAAATATTTTTAATAGCTGCTTTACGTTTTTGCCACCATTGTATGTTTTCCAAAATCAATTACCCCATTTATTCATATTCTGGTTGATATTAAGTTACACTACTTGATGATCAGTGAAAGGGAAAGGAATATGCTATCTAATCTTCAAGCCTGTCCCTGTGTGTTTAGAAAGGTAAAAATGGATATCAGGGGAGATAATTCTGTAGACATCAGAGATATTAGGTTGAGTTGAATATGGCCTTGGTATTTTATTGCTTATTTTGGATAGCTGTTCATGTTGCCAAGTTTATTATCTTTATTGGATTCAATCAGATTGAAATCACCTCTTATAATTTATGAATGTTGTGGACAATACAGAGTTTTGAAATATTAAAGAAGTTTCTTGTATTTGGTTTTAAATTCTCTCTTGCAGGGACCTTATATATTACACAATTGGATATTTGCATTATTAGCATTTACTTCTAGTTCTTCAGGTATATTGTAACGCTTTTGTATAATATTTGGGTTTCGTTATATGCAGTGTACAACTTATAACCAATTTCATTTTCAACATTTTTTATATTATGATTGACATCTAATTTTAAAATGTCTTATATACATACAATATATCTAATCTGTTAAATATGTTGCTAAATTGTTTAATCTTTTGACGATTTCTTTGTTGAACATTAATTGAATAAATTAACATAATAATTAGAAAAATAACAGGGCTAACAGTCTCCAAAGTCTGCTTTCTAAAATAATTTTCAAATCTGAATATATTAATGTGTAAATTGTGTGATCTCTAAACTTATGTTTCAGTAAGCGGGGATTCCCCTCTCGACCTTTGATCATCTATTACTGTTTCTGATAAACTATCAAGACTTCTATTTCTTTCATTGTCTTTATCACACCCTAGGAGCGGATCCATTTTTTTTGCGGTGGCGAACAATTTTTGACCCATATATTCTCGCGGTAAAGAACAAAAATGATCACCTCTCAGCTGGTAGGTAGGTACCGAAACTCATGTTGCTAAACAGTCAGATTAATTGGAAATCGTAATTTACTACAAAACGAGCCGGTTGGTGGCTTGGTTGATTGCCCGTCACTCCCAAGTGGAGACAGCTCGCCCCACCCTTTCTGAAAATCCTAACAATAAGGCATTGGTGTCACAATTAACATTTGACTGTGATGTTTCAGGGATGTCATTTAATGGATTGTCAATACTACTTTTAGCGTGTAAAAACCTTTGACCTACTGAAGGTAGGGTATTAATGGGGGTGGAAGAAACATAACTACTAGATGTATTATCATTAGACTCGTTACCTCCATTCTTAGCATGGCTCTCAGGATTTAGGATAATACTTGTTGAGCCCTTAACACTGATGTTGTTATTGTTGACTATAGCTTGTATAATGGTAATAGAAATTGACAATTCGTTGGTCAGACTTTGTAAGTTTTCGGAATAGAACTGACCAGATATTTTATCATTAGTTTCTGTAGTAAACATAAACAAAGTACAACATGACTGGACAATGTCTTTACTTCTAATCAATTCAGTGGGATCAATTATGGTAATTTGGTTCATTTAACAGCAACAGCTAACACAGTAATTTAATACACATTAAAACTAGAGAACTCAAAGATGAAAATTCAATATCTTCTTTTCGGTTGTTAAATGCTAGATCTGTGAGAAATAAAACAACATGCTTGTCAGATTTTATCATCGAGAAATTTTCTGGATGTATGCAGCATTACTGAAACGTGGCTAAATGATGACATTTTGGACTCATCGACTCTTGCTGCACTGGTTCCTAACGGTTATTCTATCAAACACCGCCCACGGGGCTCGCGTGGTAGTGGAGTTGCACTTATATACAAGCCATAGTTTAAATACAAGAACAGAAGCACAAGTTAATCACACATCTAAAGTTTGTTATTTTAATATTCACAATATTGAAAAAATACAGAACTATTTTATCAAGAGATGCAAAAAAAAAAACCTTGCGAGGTCAAGATTTGATAATTTTAACCCTCTATTAGGTGACTTAACCTTACCACAAAGCAAATGTACCACCCCCACACCCTAAACCGATCATAATTCCAATGTAATTGCACGTTGGATCCTAAGGTCTCCTTCCCAACCTCTTAGGTTTGCTTTGGATACACCATAGAAAATATAATCAATATTATTTACATCTGAAAGAGGAATTAAAGAATAGAGTTAAAACATAAAAAGGGTTCTTTTAAAAGCGGTGTTAAATTTCGCTGTCCTTCGAGAAGAGAGGAGAGTCATCTCCGCCTTGGTCATAATAAAACAGAAGGTCCAGGATGGTTGGTATCACCAATGCCGAAAGAAAAAAAAGGTCAAAAGGGAAAAAGAATCATCTTGCTTTATGTGGAAAAGGTAAGCTCTCGCAGTAAAAACCACATAGCTGGACCCGTGGATTATTTACAAATTGAAAACTGTTCGTTAAATAATTTCCAATAATAATAATAATAACGAATATTTATATTGCAAGGATGCTCATGGCGCAGGTTTGTTTAGCACTTCAGTTTTATGGTTCACACCTTAGAATAGGATTGATATAGATGAGATTTTAGTTTTTATTTAAAAGTTTCCTAATTATATAACATTGCGAAGTTTCGAGAAAGACGCCTGGTGGAAGTCTGATATTAATACTCAAAGCCATTGTAGGAAGAAGCACATCTGAAATTTGAATTACAAGAGATGTGGGAACAACTAGTTGGCTTAGGTGAACGGATAATGCTCAAGACACCAGCTTCAGAAAACACACGAAATTCCCCGATTGCCCAATAAGAATATTTAAATATAGAACTAATTGAGATTGAATTATCCGATGATTAAAAAAAACAGGTTCTGATTCCATTGAATACATCATCATGCTCACCGACGAAGAATTAACGAGTAAAAAATAATTCCTGGTTCTGAAAGCGTACGCCATACCCTGTTCGTCTGATGCAATCGCTTTGATTGTCTAAGCAAAACACCCTTCTTCGATTGTAGACCCATACGTCAACTCCGTTATACGTCCATAATAATAATGTACATTTGTAGAGCGCTAAATCCATCCAAAAGCATGCTCATATCATTACCATGAATATTTACCAAAACCAGGCAAAAACATAGCAATTCAAACCCTCTTCAAACATCGGCTAAACTGGCCATGCAAAAGCGGAGGAAGACAATAAATGGTGGCCTGTGTCCTATATGAAAACTAGTAATTATTTCCCTTGTATATAAAAAGGTAATTTTTCATTGGGAATTCCCACAAATGGATGCGCCTCTTCACCCCCGATCATTCCACCTCAAATTCCTTAGTGGTAACCAATTGAAAATAAAAATACATGGTCTATTTCATCAATTCGAGATCTCACGTCAAGCGAAAAGTGTGGTGCAGAAATGTGAAAAGAAGGGGAAAGGATATATGTATTTACTGGAACTACACTCTGTCGACGTTAGTTAGCTCCCTTGAACATATAGTTCAATACTGGTGCGTAATACATGAATATATAAACAGGTATAGTATGTTCATTATGAATAATATTTTGATATGTCTGACAAAATGAGTCTAAATGTGCTACAGGCAAAACAATTTGAAGACTATGGATTTTGGTCGAAATAGATTTTTACATAAATATACCGTCCAGCAATCCCAAAGATCAGTATAGCACTACAACATCTTAAATTGCCTGTGTGTGGAAGCTTTGTAAGAGTTTAGTGTTAATAAATCTGTATTTTTTCTGAAAAGTCTTTGTGTAATAGTAAAATTGTACACACAACAATGTTCCATAATAATATGCGAATTCTACATTGTATTCGACCCAACGATTTATATTGTTGAAGATAAGATGCACCTATTACCTTAATACTATATAATATCTTCCTGTTTATGGTTTCGGTTGATAAAAATAGATATACGTACAATTACACGCCAATTAATGCAGTGACAAAAGTTATTTCACTAACCAAACTACTTAAAATTGTCAAGAAACATAACACCATTGAAGATTTCCGAGCGAATACACCTTAAGATACGAGTCCAATATTCATAAGAAGAAAACTGGGGGACTAGGGTAATATTTTAATTGCAAAGTTGTCCTATAACCCATAAACACCTTATGGGATATAACTCATGGATCAACGTCTATATTTTGTTCCCTAACAAAATGGCTTAAGCCATAGAGATGTCTTGTGGTTTTAGCGGAATATTTGTCAAGGGGTCTAAAATTGGGTGGACATGTGCTAATGCTGTTAATCATTTTATAAACATCATATGGGATATAACTCTAAATCAAGGCCTATATTTTGGTTCCTAACAACATGGCAAAAGCCTATAATCCTTCAGTGGTATTTAACGATTGAGCACATTAAAAAACATAACACAATTTATATGGAAAACAATCACTGGTTTATACAAATATGGCACGACGTTTCGACAAGTAGTTTCTTATCTTTTTCAGTTAACACATCTAACTGCCTCATCTTCATGTGGTGTTAAAATTGGTCTTGACAAAATAGTATTCTGTTCTATTTTTCAATATAATTAAAGGATAATTAATGTCTTAAGAGTGCTTATGTAACACGATGTCTTATGGGTCGCATGTGAAAAGACACTCCAACAAAGCTCATCACATCCAACGTGTGACGCATACTCTCTCCTCTGCTACATATTATAATAGCCCTGTGATCTAATCGTCTTGTATTGTCTCTGGGTTTTTTTTTGTAATTCTTTACTCTAGGACTCCACTTAATTTAGCCCAATCGTCAAAACGTTTATTTAACTCCGATTATTCAGTTTATGGTTACCACAATTCGTTTCTACATTTTTATGTCAAGCACTGGATACATAAATTACAAGCATACATTACCATTAACATCATTCTCTCTACCAAACGTTTTCGTAGGACATGTTTACTGAAAGAACCCCACAGCATCATATGGCTCTCCTACGATTTAACGGTGCGTTCTAATCCAAGTGGTGTCTAAATGATGTCCGAATGATACTCGAATGATGTCTATTTCCCAGCCTCTTATCCGAGGAGGCTGTGAGTATGATGTTCCCCTGGGAACCGAATGATGTCTGTTTCCCAGCCTCTTATCCGAGGAGGCTGTGAGTATGATGTTCCCCTGGGAACCGAATGATGTCTGTTTCTCAGCCTAGAAGGTTGTGGATATGATGTTCCCCTGTGAATGGTGTCTATTTCCCAGTTTCTCAACTGAGGAGGCTTTGGGTATGATGTTCCTCTGGGAACTCCAAATGATATCTTGTCTAGGATTTCTCAATGATGTCTTCTTTACGATCTCCTCATGATGTCTGAGTGGAAAATTAACCCCGTTCTTCTTATATAAAGAGGATACGTGCATAGGTCGTGTATTGAGCCCCGGGAAATTGACCAAGTACTTCCTTTATCGGATTGGTCAGCTGCACATACCCATTGTAATAATATGGGCACAAGGAGGACAGTTGCCCGTGTGTCTAAAGCATGTGATTACTATATTTGGATCATCAGACTATGATGCCATTGCCCAATTTTAAACTTCCATATTTATCCTTGTTAGCCTAGTTCTCGTTTGTCACTGATACTAGCTAAAAAACTTCAATACATTAACCAGAGCATCTTTTTAGAGAACTCAGATAATCTCTACTGTATATAAGCCCTATAGTATTTTACGTATTTGCATTTGGGATTCATTTAAATTATCGAATTTACACGCGTCAAGTTTACGCTACTTACGTAAAAAAAACGTATAAATATATCACCGTAGCCCCATAATGTCGGTTGAGGTCGAATTTCGTGAAAATTGGAACAAAATTGTCGGACAAAATGGCCGCCTCTTGTACCCCACATAACATCATGACGTTATATTTACGTAAAAATGGTAAGTCAGTTTACCATCATTTTGCTCATTTTTTAACGTTAATTTAACATCAGGAAATGACGTTAATCTACCGGAAAGTTTACGTCATGTTCTGGTGTAAATCTAACGTAAATTTTACATAAAGTTTACATTACTTACGTTATCTCACCATTATTAAATAGAACAAAATTGGAAGTTTCAGTGAAACTATTCAGTTTATCTCCAGCATTATCATTAAAGGCAGAGTCCAAATGGAGTGGTGACTGTTAAAATCTCCACATAAAAAAATATTATTAGTTTTTACTTGATCATATATTTTTTATACGCTTCTTCATCAATAATTTTACACGGATTATAAATGTTAACTACGGTCATTCTTTGTTTGTCGGTTGTAGCCAATTCTAATCCCATTACCTCGAATTCAGCAGAGTCTACTGTAATAAACGTATGAGAGTTGGAACACCCCCGGAACCCCCTTTGTCAGGTTAGGACGATCTTTCCGCAAAAATGTGTATCCAGTCAGTTTTGGGTCCTCCTGCTTTGGACCTATTTTTTTTTCCTATATCCATTTTATGTCAATTTTGCTAACAAAGTGGTTAAATTCTGCCATACGTGATGTGAGACCATTGGTATTAATTTGCATTATGTTTAACTTATTGGATATACCGATGTAAATTATTGGATTAGTTTGATTTCAGGGTTTAATTCTTATTAATTAGCCAGTTATAGCATTCGTTAGTATTAGTCTTATTTATTTTGGATGGACGGACACAACCGTTGTCCTTTCGGAAATTTCCTTTTCAAGGGAGATTTGCTCCCCCTTCGTTCGACGGGGTCGGCGGTTGAGCCATTATTATATATTTTCTATATTTAGCCGCATGTGAGATGTAATCATGTGAGTGGTCAGATAACACCCCATCATCACAAACCTTAATATCCGATTCAGCTTTCTGAGTATTGTTTATCGCTGGAATAAGGACTGTGCTATTTATTTCCAGTTGGTTCTCAATAATAAACTTTTTGGCATTTTGTTTTATGACGTTAATTACAAAGTCCTTGCTCGTTTGGTTGTTTTTACGAGTGATCACCCGAAGTGCTGTTTCTAATAAAAACTCATAAAAAGAGTTTCTGTCTTTGAATGTTGCGATGTAATGATTATTTGATTAAATGGTTTATTCTTATCTAAATTTGATTTAGCATATAATGTTTGCCTTTCAACGTTCGTTTCTTGTGTATACATGAATGACATTAAACAAAGCCCCCCCCCCCCACCTAAACGAAATGTTCTTAGCATATTTAATTCTAAGAATTTCCTTTGTTGCAATGAATTTGGTGCAAGTTTTGTCAGTTGACTTGTGACTTTCGCTCCAGCACATTTGTTTTAAAAGCTTTATTATATCAGAACAGAACAGTAGAACGTTCAACCCCATTTGATTTCGTTGTATACATACATATGTATAGAGATACGACTTAGTCATTAGCACACTTTAATACCTCAGATGAACAGGTATTACTGCTGTGCGAGTATGAACATTTTTCGCACACTGATTTACCTTTACGGTGAGCTTGGTCATGACCGGTTTCTACACATTTTGACACGGGGAATACACCTGTATACTGTTCTTCTCTGATAGCCTAATTTTATTTTTACCGGGACCTGTCCCTTTTTAATCGTGACTTATATGTTTTCTGATGTTTTGCCATCTGGGGTGCTGTACCTGTATACACTTACTACTTCATAACCATTGGTTTGGTGATTTTTTAAGAGTTCCTCGTTTGAGTATTCACATGGGACAACATGAATAACACCTTGCTTCTGGGTTACAGATAGGGGTGGGGCAATTACCACTTCTACTCCGCCATTTCACCATTGCAGGCATTTTCACCATCGTACGTTCCCATTTGTCAATATTTTAGTTTCGGAGTGCCTTTGATTCCCTATTTGGTTTTGATTTCGTCGGCAATAGTTTTAGTTTTATAGCTATAGATTTTGTGTGACTTAACCACGTCCACTTCGCTATATTCTATTTTATTATTTCTACTACTCCTGTTTATCGATTTAAATGACTTAGGTAGTGGTGTGTTTAACAGACATTCAACATAGATTGAACATAGTTGCTACGCCTGGATGAAATGAGAGCTGTGACAATACAATAAGTCCGTTCAGTTCAGTGATAGCTTGGTAATGAGAGAGACAATACAGAGAGAATATCTAGATGAATATCTAATACAATATCTAATAGATATTTGTTAATTGGTGAACCCACTTAACTAAGAAGAAGAGTTAACACTAGATGAATGTATAATTTACTATAACCAATCTAAAATATATAAGTAAAGCTATTTAATTGACGGGAACCGTTGAGCCTTGTGTAGTTATATCATAAGCCGTATTTATTTATATGATATCAATCAGATCAGTAAGTTGGAATGTAAATATATACACGTGTGCAATAGTTTAACATTTCTTATTAGATGTCGGGACAGTGACGTAGATTAGTCCTGCAATCGCCAGTAAAATCATCAGCAGCATAAGATATTCCACTAAACGATCAGTCAGACTTTTTAATTTCACTTATCGATATATCGATGATGTTTTATCACTAAAAAATCAGGGGAGGGGGGTTGAATGGCTGATGGTTAGCGTGCGCGCGCTGTATCATAAAGTCTGTCATTGAGTCGACTGACGTGGTTTCGAATCCCCGGTTGTACGTGACAAGGAGTAGGGTCGCCTGTCCAACCTCGTGGGTTTTCTCCGGGTCCTCCGGTTTCCTCCCACTGCTAAAGACCCCTACGCGCAAGCAAATTATTGAAATAAAATTAAACCATATGTTAGTTCCGAAATTACCTAGTTTGTGTCGAGTGGACGTTAAAACCCCATTTCTCTCTCTCTCACTTAATAATCCTAAATTTAGTGATTATGTAGAATTCATATATCATGATGAACTCGAAATTAAAAACACCACTGACAGTGACAATTACGCTTCCTACTTGGATCTGCGTCTCGATTTTGACAATTGCCATAAACTGAGTGTTAAATTGTACGATAAACGTGATGACTCTGACTTTCCGATTGTTAACTTTCCATTTATTAGTAGTTACATTCCAATACCACCAGCTTATGAAGTGTTTGTGTCTCAGCTAACTCGTTACGCGAGAGCTTGTTCCTTTTATTCTGATTTTTTAAGTAGATCGAGGCATTTGTCATCTAAGCTTCAACTACAAGGATACTTGCGCACTAAACTTATTAAAACCTTTAAAAAGTTTTATGGCCGTCATATTGATTTGATTGGTAAATATAACGTGTCTCTCTCGGCTATTATTCTAGATATATTTAATTGCTATCTCTCTGACAATGTCTACTACATCGTTAACACAGTTCATCGCGTGCATTTTGCATACCGATAGTTCATTGGCCAATCACGCTATTTTACCGACATTTCGCCTAATAGTTTGGATGCAGCTATGGCGGGTGTGGCGTCAGGCAGGGTAAGCTTACTCTTCCGGACACCTGTTACCACTGTTTGTCGTGTATTTTGTACACGAGGAGCAGTCCATTTGCTGATTACACTATTTTGCTTGAATACATTTCGCCTAATAGTTTGGATGCAGCTATGGCGGGTGTGGCGTCAGGCAGGGTAAGCTTACTCTTCCGGACACCTGTTACCACTGTTTGTCGTTTATTTTGTACACGAGGAGCAGTCCATTTGCTGATTACACTATTTTGCTTGAATACACTATTTTGCCTATAACGTTTTTTAGGACTTCGAATTCTGTCTTATGGTTTGGATTGTTCGTACTTGGTTTTATTTTATTTTTACTTAAAGCTAGTAAATGTTATGTACGAGAAAGAATACACCAATACAGAAATGAAAAAAATATCGTCTATATGCAAAATCAGTGATAGAACTGGTTCACCAATTAATCAATTTAATGGCTTATTTTTTTTAAAATCTGTTTATTGAACCAACGTGTCAAACATACTTTCTGTTGGCCACGTTTTTATAATTTCGTCTACTCCTCTAACCAACATTAAAGATTTCAAGCAAATTTATTAAAACTTGGAATATTATCTGAACATATTATTACTCAAACTTACAAGGTAGAAAACATTTTTCACCTATTTTGTTGAAATGCGACAAAAGTAATAAATGGCATTTACATTACCTTTCAGAGTCCTTTTTACCATCTATCTGTATAATGTATGTTTCTCTTTTAATTTGTTTATTGCAGGCGACATGTCCGCACAACCAGTTTATTCACACAATTCGTGTGAATCCATGCCAATTATTCACTCTATCACTTGTAAACATGAGACAAGGGTACTAGATAATTGTAAATCAACTGAAGTAGAACATGATAGTGGTTTACTAAAACTTAAGAAAGAAAACCTGGAATTGAAACAAACAGTTGAAGAGTTAAGATCTTCACTTGCAAAACAGAAATTGAAGAATAAACAGGAATTCAAGAATAAACGCAGAGGTATTTCAATTATTGTGGTTTAGCTCACAATGTTCACCGGAGGTCCACACAGGGTTGTCACTTAGCAGTTTGCATTTCTCTACGCGAACAACAGCAACTATGAACAACTTGTTCCTCCGTAAATTACGTATTTGTGTCGACGGGGGCTCGCACGTCTACTAGTTACCATTCCTTCACGCGCAATTATCGTAAATATTAAAAACGTGCTCGTTCGAGAAAAACGAATTTGTGTTGACTTCAGGATCCATAATCCTAGTTGTCCATACTGCCGACACAGTGGCATTAAAGCCCGTGACAAATATTTAGCATCTTAATTGTTACTGTTTTTGTGTAATCTAACAAGGAATAATGGAATATAAATGAAATAAATTGACATTGGATGGAATGTCCTACTGTCCAGCCGGTTTATTCGAGATGGGGGTATACGACATGCAATATATTATCGGGACAATATTGCCTAGACAGGGACGATACTACTCTATACTCCTATTTCGATAGCTTCAATGAGCTATATGGTTAGGCTTAAGATTTGGGTAGGAGGGATAGGGTAATTTTTATGAATAACTTAGTCCCCATAGTATTAACATAAGGAGCCATTACTAATTTCATCCTATGTCTATATTTTATTCTTTGCTACAGGTTATGTGGAATATGGACGAATGCCGGATGTCCAGTATAGCAAAATACAGGCCAATTACACAACTCTACTGAAAGAGATAGTAAAACCCACTCCACTTTGCAGACAATTATTCTCTGCTTTTGTATTTGACGAAGATGACAAAAGAACAATAGAGTCCGAAAAAGATCGAATAGAACAGACTGATCAATTGTTAATGACTTTGGTGGAGCGTGGTCCAAGGGCCTTTGATGAATTTTTACAGGCACTTTCTGCTACATTCCACCACCAGGCAAAAAGAATACTAGAACAAGGTAGATATACATACGCTTTTTAAGGGACCCCCTTTACACGCACTCCTTATTTAACACATAAATAATATTTTTCTGTAGATGCTCCCAATATTCCCATTTAATATCAAATTTGGTAATTTAAGAATAGAATAATTCCTCCTCCTCCCATATATATATGCTTCGGGAAATTCTGAATCTACTGGCCATGTAAATGTTTTGCACATTATAAAAGTGTAGAATTTGACGATGTTCCTTTGCAGATGAATGTGAAGACGTTGCGGCTATCAAAGATAATAGTAAGTATCATTTTACATTAAATGTTGCACGACACATCGGATCCAGATTCAGTTTTAAAATTTCAAATTTTCGTTCGATATCGAATCTATTACAGAAAGCTGTTACCATAGACTCTCGATAATACCTACCTACAAACTTGACTCTGCGAAAAGACAAGATTCTATTCGGGAAGAGCATCACTTTGTGAAGTTATAGTAATGTACACACTATATAAGATGTGTTCTACTTGAGGATAGTTGACATCCTTACTTGTTCACTTTCTAAATAGGTTTTCGTTGTAGATTAATAATCAAAATCATTGAATGGTCGGATAAAGCCGAGTTACAATGGGGAGTTCCTAGTTTTTATCCACGTGATTAACACGCATCAAAATGCCCCAAACCTTTTCGATCTTTTGTGCTATGAAGGTTATACAAACATATAACTGATATAAAATTACCCAGAATCTCCTCTGCGGGAACATATCTCCCTTGTTTCAATCCCAAATCCTGTAAATCGAGATAATTAAACTATATACCCCTGGACATTCAAAATTATATTAAAAGCATCTTGATTACGGCTTATCCTAGCACCTGATTGTGTAGCGCATACATACAAACTATCTGTAGATCCCGACCATTACCTTCTGCGATGTTCCTTACATTCAAATACACAACAGAAACCATAGACAAATTACAACATGATTTTAAAAATTTAAACAGTCTTTTTTTATTCGGTTCCACAATCTACCATCTGGACGTTAACACTAATATTTTTAACCAGGTCCATAAGTTTATAGATATGTCAAACAGATTTTAAACTCGATCAAATAATATTTTATCGTCTACTTTATGTATACTTTTTGGCTAGTCACTCTAATGTTGCTTATTATTAAAAATGCTTACTATGGTTGTATATGTATAATTATTAACTACTATATATACTGTACATTTTCACCCATTTTATTATATCTATACAATATGTATGTGTTTGCCATTATAACTGTACGTATATATTATCAATTATTTATTATCTTTTACTAGGTTACTTTAGTATGAAAATAATGATAAAAAATCCTAATAGAGACAGCTTGGACGACATGAAAGATACAATAGAAAGATCAATTAAAAGTAATTATGGATGTGACGCAACGATAACAAGTCTCAGGTATATGTTTGGTATATTTGGTATTGTTTTTGGTATGCCAGTTGTATGAATGTTGTTTTTGTTTAATAACTGTTTCGTACCTTTGACGAATGATTATGTTTAAACAATATTTTATTCATTTGTAAGGATTGAACAACACACAAGACCTAGCCCAGAATACAGAAAATAGTAACCAATATAATATAAACTTATACATACTAGTAAGATCAAGCATAACAAATTGTAAAATCGAACATGTCCAGACGTGGCAATGATATATATACATGCGATGCAATTATTTGATATACAGTATACAACAATATGTAAAGGAGAATCAAAATAGTTTGGTATTCTTTACGATATTATGGACTGCTTAAAGCGAAAATTTCATATTTTTAAGTTATATTTTTAAAATGTATTAAAATAAAACCTTAAATGAGATGGTATCTTTAAACAGTTCTACCTTGTTAAAGAATAATCCTATTAATTCTATAATTCACTATTGCCAAAATATTGGCAAAAATATCATTTTCAACTTCAAATTCAAACGTTTGAAGATAGCAATTCCATGGGGGGATAGAAAAACAAGGGATGTAATTGTGTTATTATTTCCGGGGTGAATGATTTTTAAGTGTGGGAATGATACCTATGATCGCATAATAGCGAGTTGACAACCTATTGAGCAAAAGACTTAGAAATAATTATGTTGTAACTTTCTTAGAAAATATGAAATTCTCGCTTTAATATCGATCTTTCTAAAGACTTTAAATATTGGGTAGATCTCACCCATATTAACTCTGTGACATGTATAAGGTCTTAATCAACGTGGATTTTTTGGGGGACGCCCTTCGTTTAATTCAAGAAAAAAAGCTGACGTTTCAAGAAAAACAAAAAAATTCACCATACTCTAGGGTCTTGTCTCGAATCACAAGACTGTATGCAAAAAAGACCAGAGAAAGACCTCGCATTTCAGCACACAAATTTCTTCCATAAAATATGACAACTTTAAATATCTGAATATTATAATTTATTTTTAGCAGTGGTAAGGATTAATAGAACATGCTTCTCGGTGTTGGTAGGAGACATTCAGATGCAGAGATGGTGTTTGTAACATTTCTTTGTGAACCATGCAATAATATTAAGACACAACTTGCATCTAATCAACTTATTAAAGAAGGGTACATCGCTTTTCTACATTCTACATAAAACTTTTAGGCTAGGTGTTACATAGTGTGAGAGACAGTGATAGGTAAAAGATTATAATTATCCTATGACCGCATGTGTAATAAACTCTCCACTGTTCTCTAATTGACCACACTATTGTTCATTTAATAAAGAACCAGATGCTGCCATATGTATAATGGTCAAGTTAGATAATCCGCTGATCACTAATGACGTTTACTAGCGTTAGCTGTCACACATCAATTGTTCTGAAGCCTGCCATATGCTTATAGTGAGATAATCTATCAATGACAAATGATTTAATTATGTAGTCTTTACATAAGTCCTTTTGTTCCATATTATTAATTACCCGTGTTATCAAAGTGAATTTAGTATAAATTGGCTTTGGTTTTTCATGTAAAACAGAACAGCTTTGGCGGCTGACCAGATACGACTTTATAGTATATCTAGTATGCTAGAATAAAATGTTGCATCCAGATCATGTTTTATTTCTATTAACTCAAACTATGTTATATAGGCCTGTGACGCTGATACAAATATAAAATAGTAAGAACACCTATAGCTGATTTCATTATGAAGTGTGCCAGTTGTTCCCACAATATAGTAAAAACATAAAATTAAAAAAAAAAAAGATACGACTTTATAGTATATCTAGTATGCTAGAATAAAATGTTGCATCCAGATCATGTTTTATTTCTATTAACTCAAACTATGTTATAATCATAATTTGGTGACCGTGTCCAGCGAACAACTGTGGTTGTATGGAAAGATACAGAATAGAGTAGTGGCAGCCGAATTCTCTCCAGTTTGAACCAAATACAGAACCAGTCAAAGTCAGAAAGGTACGTTAGCTTTGTTATTTTTCGTAAAAATGGCTGAACAAGGAGATGTTTCTGCGCTATTTCAAGGTTTAACTGGGGAGTTAAAAGGCTTGTCAACTACTTTAAAACACCATGGCGTTTCTCAGTTAGTCGAAACATATTCAGGGGAAAGACAAAATTTTGAAACTTGGATAAAAAGCATAGAGAAATATGCAATTTTAGCTGAAATTGCCATTGAAAAAGTGAAATTAATCGCTTATCAATCTAGTAAAGGTTCTGTTAGTGACTTTTTAAGTAGACATTGTCGGAAATCGGGTTGTAAAATTTTGTCCTATTAAAAGTCCTCTTTATCCAATAAATTTAAGTAAATTATGTATTATAGCTTTGTTTATGCAAAATTCTAAATTAGTAAAACAAGTTTGTAATGTTAATATTAGACCTCGAATAATTCTACCATTGGCTGAATATTTAACGGATGGTTATTGGGCTATATCAACTACAGAAATTTTAAGGTTTTCTCTTCTTTGTTTTTATGGTAAACATTCGAATTCTGGACACAAATTAGTTGCACATCCTCCCATAGATATTATAAAATTGAATATGTCATGCTCTGCATCTAATGAATATCTCTCGTTACTACCATATTATACGAAGGAAAGTAAATATGTCATTAAAAATTCTATTCGAAATATACATATGCATTTCAATATTTCAAACATTAAATTATGGAAACCATTAACAGTAGCCTTTCCAAACGTCACAATTCCACAGATTCCCTCTAAACTTAAAAACATTAAAAATATTCGTATTAAAGATTTAGTAAATCAACTGAGAAGTGTAAATAAGATAAGTGTTGACAAGCCATGGCCTCATTTAAGTTTTGTTGTAAGCGGTTTTGGAATACTTTTGGGAATAATTACTGGTATTTACTTACTAGTAAAATGTATTAAAAAAAGAAATGAGAAATCAGCCAAATTATACGAAAATAACAAAGAAGTCAGAGCAATGTATTCTGCTCTGACCGAGATGGTGTCGGCGAAGACCGAGGGCGAAATTACGCTACAAGGAGAAGATATTAGCTCCACACCACCAAAAGAAAAGTTAATTTATCCTACGTTAACTTTGTCGTAAGAGGAAGAAAATTGATACAAATGATATACGGAACAAACTGGCTGTTCCAGTTATAGGAAATATAAATAGTTCCTGTTGAATCAACGTTGAACGGGCCTGTATATAGAAGATCTGAATAGATGTGCCGATAATTTTGTGGATCCTGTTGTTGCTGTTGTGTGTGTTTTATTTTATTCCGTGGATAATTAGTGTACACTGTGAACTATTAATGTGTTAAAATTGGATCATCATTATAACAATTTTTCAGAGGAACTTTTCAAATAATTTTATATATATATATATATTACTTTTTTATATCCATTAAGGATAGGGTGATTATATTTTGTTTGTTTGTTTCACAAACTGTTGGCAATGGAGGTATTGTTACATAGTGTGAGAGACAGTGATAGGTAAAAGATTATAATTATCCTATGACCGCATGTGTAATAAACTCTCCACTGTTCTCTAATTGACCACACTATTGTTCATTTAATAAAGAACCAGATGCTGCCATATGTATAATGGTCAAGTTAGATAATCCGCTGATCACTAATGACGTTTACTAGCGTTAGCTGTCACACATCAATTGTTCTGAAGCCTGCCATATGCTTATAGTGAGATAATCTATCAATGACAAATGATTTAATTATGTAGTCTTTACATAAGTCCTTTTGTTCCATATTATTAATTACCCGTGTTATCAAAGTGAATTTAGTATAAATTGGCTTTGGTTTTTCATGTAAAACAGAACAGCTTTGGCGGCTGACCAGATACGACTTTATAGTATATCTAGTATGCTAGAATAAAATGTTGCATCCAGATCATGTTTTATTTCTATTAACTCAAACTATGTTATATAGGCCTGTGACGCTGATACAAATATAAAATAGTAAGAACACCTATAGCTGATTTCATTATGAAGTGTGCCAGTTGTTCCCACAATATAGTAAAAACATAAAATATGGGAAAAAAACATATATTTGGTGTTAAACTAGAATACAATATTCTGTCTTTGATTCAGCGGAAAAGACATGGGTATAAAATAAAATATGGGAAAATAAAATATTTGGAGTTAACCTAGAATACAATATTCTGTCTTTGATTCAGCGGAAAGGACATGGGTATTGGCATTTTGATTTCACACATCTCTGAAAATGATTATAATGCACAATTTTTATTTTAAACAGTTTGATATTTATTTTTATGTTATAATAACAATTGAATTTAAAACCTGAAATTTCTGATAGTTTTGGAGAAGACGGACACACATACACAGTAAATAATATCTATGTATTTTTACCGTAAATTGACTGGCAGAAAGTTGTCAGTAAATTGACTGTATTTTAACACCTAAGCGGTAGATTTAGATTTACAAACAGCATGTGGATTTACAGTAATAGTAAAATTACTATTTCAAATAGCATTTCAGTTAATATACAGCTAACATAATGTAAACTGACATGTTTGTATTTCTACATTACGTTTGAGGTAATCTTACATTTGACCAAAGAGGGAATAACCGATGTGGCCACTATTTGACATATAATTTACAATTTGCTGTAGAAATAATAATTCAAATGACATTTCTGTATGTAAACTGACATATGGTTGTCTTTCTACATTACGTTTGATGTAATCTTACATAAGCTTTATATTCATATGCATTTACATCGCTTTAAATGTAAGTTAACAAACTATGTGATATTACAAATCGGACACTGTATTTAAAGTATACTTATAACTGTAAATATACATAAAACTTTAACAGTTTAATAGGGATCTTTTACGTGCACACCAACGTGTACACGGGACAGCTATCCTTGTTTGATCCTCCGTCCTGCATTACTGACAAGGGGGAAACCACGCCGGAAAATCTGGATGAACTTTCTCGGCCAATAACAGAGATCGAACACTTGACCTCCAGGCTAGCGAGCCAGCGTCTTACCCACCGTGACCCCCTCATATGTGAACTATAGTATAGACAATGTTAAAGTTTTAAAGAGATGTACAATTACAGGTTTCCTGTAAATTGTACACACATCACGTATTTAAACTTGTTTGAATAGTAGAATTACCCATAAAAACAGTCAAAGTACAACAAACATGTACTTTTAACCAACATAGTTGTATCAGTACAGATAAAAAAAACCGTTCTAACTTGTAAAACTAAACTTTTATTGTTAATTTACCAATTTTTTTTTTCAGTAATCCATATCACCTCACTAATACATTAAATTTATAGTATAAAAACATGCAGTGGTATTTTTACAGGGTTATGTTAAAGAAATTACATATTTTCACTGTAATTTTACATTTATATTTAACAATGTATAGTTCATGCTTGTTAATTTCATGTAGTAAGTAAATAAGAATGTACATTATTCTTGATAAAATTATGAAATAAAATTATAGCAGGGATATACATGTAATAACATTAAATGTATGAATGAATGTAAATGTAATAAAGTTACAGAAGGGATATAAATGTATGAATAAATGTAAATGTAATAAAGTTATAGCAGAGATATAAATGTATGAATGAATGTAAATGTAATAAAGTTATAGAAGAGATATAAATGTAATAACATTAAATGTATGAATGAATGTAAATGTAATAAAGTTATAGAAGGGATATAAATGTATGAATGAATGTAAATGTAATAAAGTTATAGCAGAGATATAAATGTATGAATGAATGTAAATGTAATAAAGTTTTAGAAGGGATATAAATGTAATAACATTAAATGTATGAATGAATGTAAATGTAATAACATTAAATGTATTAATGAATGTAAATGTAATAAAGTTATAGCAGGGATATAAATGTAATAACATTAAATGGCCGATAATGGTCTGCTACTTTGTAGATGAAAAATTTGTTAATTGCAAAATTTTAGAAGTGTAGAATATTCATCTGACAATTAATATGATATTTTAGATTTTTGACTTAATACCAATCTACAAACGACAATAAGTATTCTCCAAAAGATAGCTGATTTATGAATGAGCATTCTTCGTGTTGTAGCGCATGTAACATTCGGACGGAATTGGTTTACAATGCAACTGCTCATAACTTATATTACACAGAATTATGCAAACCCAAACTAATATTTCAAACGTTATGTGGCCTAAATAGCTACATTCTAATATTTTCATTTTTTGTGTATCCTACATAATTCATATTTTCGTAGGAACAATTATTTGGTGAATTTATCCTTATTTAATCTTGTTTTGTAGTTAATTTGGAATCATTACCAATGTAAATTCTATATGTGCCTAATTATGCTTAATGTTGTCCGTATTTTGTTATAGTTGAGGCAGGCGTTCATTGTTTTATTTATGTATGTTGTTTGATATCACTTTTATTTTTAGTTTCATGCAAATATATAGAACTTCGCATACCGTTGAATTAATCTGGTCTGACATAGAAGACTTGTATGTTCTGAAGGTATTATGATTTGATTGTTTGAGACTATTTACGTGTTTGTACCTGATTAAAGTGAATTATTGTAGACGTTGTTTTTATACATTCGTTACGAATTACCCGAATTGCTGCTGGCCAATCCCCTACCGAATGAATATTTAATATTCACAGTATAATTTCTTAAAACTGACGGCGTGTGGGTAATAAAAGTAAAAGTAACAGTGAACATGGTAT